AAGAAAGACCTGCAAGCCACTCATCTTGCAATAAGGAGAAAAAAAACGTAACCTTTTTCCAACTGAACATAGAAGTCTCTTTTTGAATTTTCAGATGAATATCATTGATAATTCAATATTCCTCACACAAGCACTGGCCAGGGAGACAATTTGTCATTTGCCATCATAAATAGTTTCTGTCGATTAGCTGTTTTTCATTGCTTGTGGTGTCGACTGGCTTGTGTCCTCAAGACATCCTGTGACCTCACCATGAACTCCTTAACACAGGAATGAACCGTTCTTAGCATGTTTTACTCAAAAAACAGGCCGAGGGCACTCGCTTAACTGTCTGCTATCGATCTTTCTTTCCCCCACGTCTGAATATGAACAATTAGATATCACACAACATGGACGGGGAAAATGCCATTTTAATGATTCTTGCCAGGAAGTCACTTGAGTAGATGCTGCTCAGTAATGGGGTCACATTACAAGGTTCACTATCGAGGAAAATCCAGAAATTGGCTGTAATTACCTGATTGCAGGCACTTCAGTAAGACAACAACAACACCCCTATCTAGTGTTTGGCAGTTTAACTACGCAGACTCCATGGAAGGCAACACATGGCGTCTGTGGATATAAACAGCTTATTCCAAGGTAACAGAAACAATTCTAATCCAAACAACACTATATTCGGTTGATTATACACTAATGAAAACATTACATTATATTTCTGCCAATAGATCTTCTTAAATGTTACACACTGGGACTTTAAAGAATGACTTTGATCACTCAGCCACACTTTTCCACACTGATAATAGTATTGTTGAAGATAAAAAAAAATAATCAAAAAATGTTTGATGTTATTCTGTGTTTGGAGGTGTGTTGAATGTACTGTTATCAAAGTGAAAATAAAAGAAAAGATGTGGTAATCGGAGAGGTTTGATGGCTTCAAATTTATTCCCTCCAAATGAGGTACATTCAAACTTAACATTTCTCCCACATAAAGCTTTGAAGATTTAATTACAGAATGGCACTAGGCCTGACAAGTTTCAGACTGATCTGAGGATGATACATAGAGTCTGTTAAACTGTGGCTTGAAACAAAAGCCATCCCCGGACCTATGCTTCAGAGGAGCAAAATGTAAATGTGTGAAGAGGTGTGAATGGAAAGAGTAGGACTCTAGTTACAACAGGCGATTCTCAAGAGTATGCTTGCTCATGTCAGCACATGCACCGCGTTGCTGCTGTACCAGCTCAGGTGCAGCTGTGTTTGGAGTCGGCTCTTCTGTCCGACACGGACGAGACGTTGGGCATGAAAGCGCAACGCTACTGCAACCGCAGAACATGGACTATTGTAAGAAGACATTCGTTTGTGTGTGTCAGGGTGTGTCCAATGCGAGGGTGGGGGGAAAACCCAAATATATTTTGTCCACCTTTAAGGCTTTGATGCATCTCTGCAACATGAATTCCTACTTTGCATCACAGCACACATATCACACAGATCTCAAAGGTTAAGAGATAGTATGCATTGATTAAATTATAATAATAAGACAATAGACAGTGGCATTGCCTGCAGCTGCAAATGGAATCAGAAGAAGACCAGAAAAAGAGCACTGAATTCCAGCCCTTGGTTAAACGAATGGAAGCCTATGGCTGCCAAGAAGGTAATAAAATTAGGAAAGTGGTGTAAAAATAGGCTATGTTTCTTTAAGTCAGGCACAGTCCCTCGTCCACCTATACCAATGAAGTACTGGTGTGCTACCCTGGCCAACAAATCTTCTCTGTTTGGTACAGACCTCAGCAACTGTCACATCAGCATATTTTCAGTGATGCAAAAGTTATCATTCCCATCAATCGTGAATCATATAGCAATCGTAAAATATCATCAAAATAATCACAATGATTATTTTTACAATATCGTGCACCCCTAGTACATGCAAATACAAATGGTGAGAACTCAAACAAGAGCAGCATGACATGCAACTGCATACGCTAATTAAAAGTGAAAAGTTTAGGAAACTGTGCAGTTGGAGCTAATCTGTGCTGCGAATAAATCACGAGGAACCCCCGCTGAGCTGAGAAACAGAGTCAGGTTCAGAGTCCTCACCTCTCTGACCTCTATACCGGCCCAAGTCACACCTCACTGCAGAGTCAACAAATGCCTGCCTGCCGGCCTGCACTCCATATGTGCCAATGTGCTTGAGGAGGGGGCGAGCCACTTCAGTGCACCATTGTCCCATCAGCCAAGATGGCCTCTCTCCTGGGGCTATAATTCAACAATGCAATGTTTACTGAACCCAGTCTTCAAGCAATTATGTGAATGGGTCTGGTGGGGGCAGACCCATCCCTACTGTTCAAACTGTGGAGTGGAGTTGGTGTTTGCACTGCTGTGCTTTGCAACTCCATAGAGTCGTCATCGACTCTGAATGGGAATTAAACACCAGGTAGCCGGGGCTGAAACGACAAAGCGCCACACAGAGAGACCAACCACCTCGCCTAATCAGTACATCACCCGGCATAGACTAAATAAATCATCAGATCAAACTGTCGCTGCATAGCGTTTAGCAGCAAAGGAAGGGGTTGAGGTACACACAGAAGAGAGGGAGAACAATTTACATGAGCGATACATGCTCTGCAGACTATATAGTCATAGGAATCCAGGCCACCCTTCCCCCAACTCCAGTCCAACCCCCAATGAAGTCAAGGGACACTTATGACAGTCTATACTGGGAGAAATCTCTGAGCCAAAATTGTCAGCGGTGGTGCTCACAGTAGGTCTGATGTCATACATAAGAAAACAAAGTGGCCTCACTTTCTTTTATCTGACTGAGTAAGACCAGAAAGTTACACAGACCGCTGACCTTATCAATTCATTTTCACTTGTAAAACACTAATATGAGCCAGAACAGATTTGAGAGCAGAAGTATTTACAGGTTTTATTGAATATTAAGCTGTAAAAACTTGAGTCGAATCAGCTCTCACTCTGGTACCGCTGGTGGTGGTTCACAGCAGGTTATGGGGGACTCATTTGTGATGGAGAGCTCTTACCCACGGTGAGTTTTTATTGACTTTGATTGTTTGAGTTGATGCGCATGACCCTGACATTCCAGTGGGGAGAAAGGAGGCCCCCGTAGTAACACCAGTACGTGTGCTTAATTGAATCAAGAGACAGTCCGCCTGTTGTAGTTCAAAGTCATGATGCAAGAAACAGATGCTAGTGGTTCCAGATAATTCAATTATGTTGGTATTGTTGGCCTCGCAGTCAATCAAGGCTGTGGTTACAGTGTAGAGGCCATCTCCTATTACCTTCCAGCATCAGTGCACAACACACGGCGTTAGCCCTCTGGGGACTGGGGTTTGTGGATCGATGCTATTGAAGATACATGACTTTTGGCTTTCAGGATGCAGGTAATGCACCTTTTGTCTCAGCTTTGTGAACCGGCACAAAGTGATGGATCATGTCATCCACAGGGAAGGCTCGGAGCTCGATAGCATGTCACCGCTGGATGTTAAATATACCTTGAAGTCATCAACACTATAGCTTTTCAAACGTCTGGAATATTACAGCTCATATACTCTATATCCAGCAGGTGAAAGATTTATGTCTGCTGGCTCAACTATGTCCCATCATTCAAAAAGGCTTTGCTTCAGATCAAATCAACACAGAGGAGTCACAGATATCTCAACCATGACAGCTCTGTTTATTGGAGGGCATAAAGGTGAGAAACCAGACGGGATTTCTGAAGGGTGGGGGGGCTGGTGGTCTATTCTCAGCAGCAAGGCAATGTTCATCCTCTATATGATTCATACTACAGATATAGAAGAGTAAAACATATTTCAGACTGAAACATCATTAATTAATTAGTAAATACCCAACAGTGCATGGGCAGTACATTGGAGCTGAGACAATTAATTGACCAGTTGACAGACAGAAAGCTAATCTGCAACAATTTTGATAATTAATTAAGCGGTAAAGTCATTTATTAAATGTTTTCAGCTTCTCCAATGTGATTATTTGCCGCTGTTCCCTGTTGTATATCACTGTACATTAAATCATTAATATTAATATTTGAGTTTTTAGCCGTTTTTGGATAAAACAAGCATTTTGCCCTGAGGCATTTTATGGACTAAATTATTAACCGAATAATAAAAAAAATAATCAAAAATGACAAAAATAATCAATAATAAAATAAATGTTGGTTGCTGCCCTGTATAGTATACTGCACGGTAATAAAGGCTGCATGAATAAAACCAGAGGATGCAACTTTGCAAGAAATTCCCAATATGGTGCATTATCTCAACTACAGTGAATGGAAGGGGCAAGTGGATTCAACACTTGTTTTCTTTTTTATTTTCTTTTTTACAACCTAAAGCCTATATTTTGCATATGAGTCCCAACTTTTATTCTAAAGGATTTCCAACACTGCTTCATAAAGAAGAAGGACAAAGAAATCTGTTCTAGTACAAAGGACAAACACATACTAATAATAAATCCACATTTTCATATATGTTTTGCAACTCCATTCAAATGTAATACCAGAAAAAAGAGCCACTGTAGGCAATGCAAACAGTGGCCTGACTAAGTTTGAGAAGGTTTAGGAGTCAAGGACTCCAGGGAGACTATGAATAGCTTGTTTCTATGGACAAACTTAGCCCAGCTTCACTCAACAGCAGGTTCTAGTTTGTCATATTACTTTTAAAAGCATCTTTACAGTACACCCTGATATGACTGTGTGGGCTGGAATCTGTTATACAGCCCCACTTGCATGCGAACAGCCCTGCACCAGCAGACCACACTATTTACTGAGCATAAATAGTACCATCAACCCATACCTCCTCTCTTTTTGTGCCTTTAATAGGACATAAAAGCACTGATTTGTAACTCTGACTTGACCTCTGGGGGGGGGGATACATACTTTTACAGGTCTGTTTTTTAAGAGTGAATGAATCATCAAACCCCACAGTGGAGAGTTTAAAAAGTGAACAGAGATTGTAAAGAGAGTAAAGTTCGGGCTCACTTACAGTGACCAGCTGGCATGTGAGTATCAAAGACAGGATAAGTCCACAGATCGAAGTGGTGCCCATTTTCCACCAACCCAGCACAGGCTGCAGAATGCTGGGGGAAAAGGAAAACCCGAGGTCCTTCACTCCTCCTGGGCACTGGAGCGCGGAGATGTCTGCACCTTTTTCAGACTTTTCTTCTGCGTGAAGGCACCCGGCTGCTCCTCTGCGTCCCACACCCGGTGGGACTTCATCAACAGGTAACACGGATCCTTTTTCGCGTTTGTTTGCTTTTTTTTCTTTAAATGTATTTTTATTCTAGTTTTTATTTCGTGCCTGCTGGGAAATATCGACTCGGCTCTCCAAACTTGCTTCTCCTCCTGTGCGCTCCGAAACTTGGGACTTGTTGTGGGCTAAACGCAGCCTTTGCAAAGTCACTGGGAAGTCCTGTGCTGGGATAGAGCAAAGAGAGAGAGAGAGAGAGAGAGAGAGGAGAGAGAGAGGGGAGAAAGAGAGCTGCCGGAAAAGTAAAAGGCGGAATGGAATTCAGGGAGTGCTGAAAGAGAAGACAGCTAATCCCAGTGTGGGGAGACGCCACCTAGTAAACTCATGATCGCGCTTTACATGACCACACTCTCCTCACGCGTGGCCCCTCCTGAGAAAATATGCATTGTAGTGTTCATATCATATCAGGTAAAGTCTGTCTGTGGCACTAAATGTTGAGTTTATTGTAGTAGTGGAAGTATTAGTAAGGATAAAGTAAGAAAAAATGTGTGTAATGAGAGTAAAAGCACAGCAGCCAAACTATCACAAGTACTCATTGAGTTTCTATGAGTGATCATTTTAAAGGTTTTATAGTTACTATGTGTAGATATGCAGTGGTGGGAAGTAACTAAGTACATTTACTTAAGTAATATTTAGAGGTTTGGGTACTTCACTACATTTTGGAAGACAGTATTGTTCGATTATTGATTTTATGGTGCATCATATTTATTTTGTAAACGAATCATACAGTTAATGTGCAATATATGTATCTGCAGGGTAACTATGTAACTGTGGAGATTAAGGTTGTGGTTTTTCTATCCTGTCAACTAACTTTATCGTTCTAAAAAGTTAAACAAAGAAGACTGCATGTAATCCACAGAGATGTGTGCTTTCTCTTCGATTGGGCAATAAACCTGCTCCACATGTGTGCTTTTCATGCCCTCAAGACACATATTTTTTTTTAAAGTCCTTACTGGCATTCCTGAAACACGCTCTCAGTGTTTTACTGAAGAAATAATGCCAATTATATGTTGTTGTTTTTTTATGGAAAGCTCTTGGTTATTAAAAGACTGAGAATCTCTTATTTTTGGTAGATAATAGAACTACTGTTGCAGACTCTGTCTTAACACAGCATACTTGAGGATTAAGTGCCCTCTGGTGGAGAAAGAAGGGGAATTGCACCTAAGACAAAAATTACTTCTCCATACAAAGGACCAACTCAAGCCTCAAGTAAAAATAAAAACATAATGAACTGTCCTGTCTTGCTGTCCCGTCAGAGACATGTCCTAAATGTAAGACACACACAGAAATATGTTATCAGGACTGAAGTCAGGAGCTGTGAGTAAGACTATCTTTGTGTCTATTCATGTAATTACTGTAAAGAGCATACTTTAACACTCAGAGATTTGAGAGAACAGCTGCTGCCAATTAAAAACTGAACCCTGAATAGAAATGTTCTCATTTGTTCCCCAAAATAGTCTAAAAAGAAGATAAACAGAATGGGCTTATCAAGTCGGTTGGTATGTTATGAATGCAGCACTTTTCATTTCTTTTTCTAAACTTTACAGTCTAATTAGATTACAAAAATATGTCAGATTTAAAGCTTAAATTAGTAGTAAGATGTAAAAAGAAATCTTACAATCCAAATTGAATTCTGTGTCCTGTGTGATAGCTGCATAATAAAAAGGAAACGAGAAAAAGAATGATTAGCCAGGTGGGTGGTGGATGCTGTAACGTGAGGGATAAATGAGGGTGGCATGTGTAAAATTTGGACTCGGCCAAAACATGATGAGGAGAAGTCATAGGGGATTAGACAGATACTCCACATGCCAACAGCAGGAAATTGGTGAAGGCTCTGCTAGGGTTCGCAAGATAAATCTTGTGGGTCATAAGATGATTAATAAGAGAGAAAAGCAAAAGAAAACTATATCTGCCACCCAAAGCTCCACTTATTTCACAATGATGAATCATTTTCTGTTTCCAAGAGCATTTTTCTATAATTATTGAAACTGGTAGACATATGCAAGGGGTAAGAAAGGATTGCATGTTTTTTTAAGGGTCACAAGCCAAAGAGGATGGGAGGTTGAGCTTTTTTAGTTGATATGATATTCAAGACCGCAACATACAAATGACAAGCTCCTTCTCAGAGGCTGAATCACAAGTAAACTGCAGGCCTCAGGGCAGAAGTTTGTTCCCTTGCTCTTTGGACTCTTCTTCAATGCCACAGAGAGATCATTTCTGTTCTTTGACTGTAAATGCATGCTAGAAGCATCTCACTGACCACAGTGGTGTGATTTAGGGACTCCTCCCTTGCCTCCTGTCTGCAGAAAAGTTCCTGGAAAAGTTGTGTCAAACATGTTTAGTATAAACTGTCTCAACCCATTATTATAGCTCCCAAAACCAATGTACCATTCAACAGAATGTTCAGGATACCGCGGCATCCTCCACTTGTGTGTTGCCAACACTGACCAAGTCCTCTGTGGCTTACAAACATCATCTATTAGTGTTTGGAGTTTAGAGCTTGCTTACAGTATATGAAGGATATGCTCAGAACAATGTAAGACATAACTAAACGTAACAAAAGCTTTATGTACTCATTTTTCTGGCTGGCACAGGATTTATGTTGGGGTAGAGGGCTGAATAAATAATAGAAGCAAATAATCAAATCCTGATATTATTGTCAGGCTTATTAACAGCTTTATGTCACTACTGAAAGACAACTTTATCCAGCTGATCCTGCATAATCTTAAGTTACGGAACGGTCTATGAGCACAAGCCATATCTGACTGACTCCCAGTTTTATTGCTGTGTTTGCACTCTGTACACGTTATTAGATTCAGACATGAGGTATGGTGGGGAAGATGTCAGATGACTCACTGTAGCGCTGGCTAGCTCTGTGTATTACATTAGAATAACTGTAGCACAGAGTGTGTTGCCAACTGGAGCTGGACTGTGCAGCTGTAGAAAACAGCTGTGACAATGAGCAACAGATCAGCCAAAGAATATGAAATACTTCCGCTCTCAGTGGGGCTCAACGCCCTTGGACTGTGGTACACATTAAGCAACACAGGATATATTTTTTTACCCCCTATTTTTTTAATTTAACTCTTATATTGGTCATATCTGTCCTTGCCTCACCCTCATTTTCTCCACAAATACACATTTAATTAACTAATGAATTTTATTGAATTAAAATGATAGCTACTAGGTATCAAAAACCAGAAAAGTTGATAAAATACATAATCCAAGAAAATTCCAATCACAACCTATGAGGTGAAACTGACTCATTAGCTAAAAATGAGAGTGAGTACTGACAAGCTGATTGCTTTATTTTGAAAGTTTGTAGAGGAAGTTAAAGGAACTGGGCATTTTCTTGTAAAGTTCTTTGCAGAGCTTTGGGAGACTTCATGATTAACCTGGAGATGAGCACAGTCAACAATCAGATGTGTAAAATAAAAAGTGCTATAGTCAAGAGGGTTCAGTTGGGCTCTAACTAATGATGCTGGTATAATGAGAGGAGCTCACTATCATAACTACGTCATCAAGTCACTGGTGTCAGCATCTTTCTCAAAGATACAGTCCAGTGTCTTGATGTATCAGGAGCCCTGAGTCTGAATCTCTCCAAGACACTGCCTGTGTTTGTCACATGGTCAAAGAGCCATTGGGAGGACATACATAAAATGTCAAGTCTATCTATAGCTGTGACTTGATTCCCAAAGACTGTGCCAGCATTAACCAAAATAAATACAGATGAATGAACACAATGCACGCATACACACATTCGAACGCAAACTCACTCACTCGGGGTGAGCTGGATGGCTCTGTCCGGTTCATCGGACGCGCTCAGACAGTTGCTGCTGGATGATATCGCAGTGACATGCGTCTGGTCCACTAATGGATAGTGTATCCTCATCAGGGGGAAACCTCTAAACATAATGTCTCTTTTACCACAAAGACAAACACAAATTTTAAAAACAAATGTAGTAGGTTTAGTAGTAGGTTTGGTAGGTATTGATGTATTTTACACATGCTTTATTCAATTCAATTAATTTCTATTGGCCTAATTGGCATGATTTGACATCTTTTGCCAAAGCACAACTACTATAATAACAATGTTAATGAAATTAACAAAAACTATATGAATAGAAGAAGTTAAGGAAATAACTAGATAATGAAGATGTATCTATTTCCACTGGTTGGCTGTTCTTTTGTGGCAGGAAGTGACAGATTTGGCAGCCAACACTGCACATTCTTTCTTTTCCCTCAGATTGAAGGGTCATGTCTCCCGTTCTGTTAAACTTTGAAAGACAGGGAATCATTTTTAAAATTTCGGAAAGAATTCCTCCTTAAGGTTTCTATAAGTTTGACATTGTGTGAAATAGTGTAATTCTGTTTCAGCAGCTTCCTCATCAGACAGCACAGCCAGGTCTGCCCCTCTCTTATTGCCAGACTACTGTAACTCAGTCTGTATTGTCTTCATTACTTTTTATTTTTTGTAAGCTTCCTCCATTACAGATGTGCTGATCTGGGACATGCTGTTCGTCCACATCCACGTCACTGGGGAGAGACAGAGAGGGATTTTATTACATCAGTGTTATGTCAGTAGATGGAATACATTTTATGAATGCTCCAGCAATTTAGTATTGCACTCCTATAAAGTTGAGGGACTTTCCTTAGGAATGTTTAAAAGAGAATGGTCCAAAACACTACAGCAGAGTTAAACAGAGAAGACTAGATCTTATCCTCTGTGATATGTCTTTTTTCTTTGATTGAACTTTTTATGCCCTCAAATCAAATATTTGTCAAAATCCTTCCATTCCTGAAACGTAGTTCCAGGTGTTTTTAAGAAAAGCTGCATTATTGAAGTAGACTTCATTAAAAGAGGTCTCTGTAGCTAAACACAATACACTTGAGTGCCCTCTACTGGAGTAAGACAGGACATTACACCAAGAGTAAAATTACTTATCAGTGAATGAAGTGGATAGTCCCTAATATGTCTCCAAACCCCCCAAAAGACTAGATCCTACACTTCTAGTGTTATTTGTTACACCTGCCTGATAAATACCCATGTCTTTCTCTTCTGCTATACTCTGTGCTCAGTTTGTAAAGCAGACTTTTTTTATACATTCGTAGTCTCCGTGCTTAAGCTGAGATAACCACAATGAAATAGACTTTGGAACGTACCAGATGATGTAACAACATTTATTGTGAATGGCTCTCTTTATTGCAATCATTATGGATTCCCTCAGTACCATGAGACAGCATGATAACCACAAAGCAGTCATATTGGGAACAATACTTCTTAGGTAAAGCTGCCAGTTCATGTGTTGTGGATCTTTTCTCCAGCTTGCCACATGGTTTATGATGAAGACACTGCTCCACTTAGGCAATTATCCATTTTATAGTTACATATAATACATAATTTAAGGTTAAACAAAGCAGAATTGCAGAGTCCATTAGATTTGTGAACAGGTGCAGTACAAAAAAGGTCAGTTTACCTTGTGTATAGACTGATTATTGCACCTGCACTTTTGACCTTATCCCTGTGTACAGCATGGGTCATATTTGTAGTTTTAGATGAGTTTTTTATGTGTGTAAATTACATTGTCTGTGTGTACTTCTGGTTACGTGCTCGCTTGGCTTGAATAAAGTATTTTGAATTGCATTCTCTTCAACAGCAGCCTTTGTCTTTCTGTCCATTGTGAGTTTATTCCCAATAAATGGTGCTTACCTAAATAAGATCGCATTGTGCTCTGGATTTTAAACAAATAAAGATCACATTGATGAGTAACAAATCACACCATAGTGAGTGATCATAATAGAAAAGGGGCTTTCATAGGGTCTGGGTCTTTGGGGCAGTACTTATACTATATTCAAAATAATAAACAAAAAAATGATATGCATTTGCCAGCAGTTTAGTATGCTCTGATGCAGGCCAAATTACTGACTACACGTTTGTGAAAGTGAAATAACACCTTGTTCGTGTATAAATATTATAAGTTTGCTTTAAGATACGTGCATCTGTACGATGCTGAATGAGTACTTCCGTGTTTACATCGCCGCCTGCTGTGATTGGTCAACTGAAGAGCACGCAACAGGGTACGTTTGATTTTATTCGCCGCACGCCGCTGCCACTCAATTAGCTTGCCAAATTACGTTCCTCATATTTAGTTTTTACCATGACAAGGCATGGAGGTTTTGGTTTGGAGGTATGAACAACCTTAAACTAGCAACATGTTTTAATACATATATTTTATAAATACACCTACTATGAATTATGTCTAGTAATGTATTTAAATACAAATTTGAGGTACTTGTAGAGTATTTACATGTTATACATTATACTTATAATCCACTATATCTCAAAGGAAATTGACTACCTTTTCAGATTATAATTTTTCATACCTTTCTTGTCCAGTGAAACATTTCATCAAGATTACTAAATCTTAGAAGGTCAGTCATTTAATTGTTATTCAGCAACCTGCTGTGCAAGTAGTGTGCAATCTTTAGTTTTACATTGTGCCAAAATCCCCAACATATATGCACAAGAAGAGGATGTCTGCTGCTCATATTGATTTCTGTTCTACTCAACATTTAGATCTTATCCAATAAAGACAATGTGCCAACTGACTTGTGACATTCTGCAGTCATTGCCACAAGTCTTTCTTCAACTTTCCTTCCTGAAGCATGAATCAGAGGGACTTGGCTGACAAAACCATACCTGATAAAGATCTCCTCTGACTGGTCCTTATGTTGCATCCATATCCAGCCTGTCTGGAAACAGGTGGTGTCAGAGATGGAGAGTCTGTAAATCATCCACAATTATTCAGCAGCCTTGTCCTCTATGTAAATTGAAAAGGTTGATGCGTGTGTGTTTGTAGATACCCTGTCTTGGGTAGATGACAGATGGGTAGCCAGTCACCTTGGCGCTCATAGCACCCCATCAATACTTAAAAGTCATCTCTGGCAAAATAACGTTTTTTCATGATGCTGTGGCAAAGGAGGCCAAGGGACCGTTTGTACTAGAACTTCTCCCTTAGAGACTTATGGAGTGGGTGAATATCCAAAGTAAAGCAGTGTACAGACTGAGGCTGCACAATTAATCACAATATTATCAAAATCACAATATGGTCAAGTGCAATATGCAAATAGCAGGAAGCTGAAATTTTTTGATAAAGGTCAAATGTGTGAAGAACAGTAGTGCTGAAGAGATGCCCTGTCCTACAAATCTACAGACCCCAACAAACCACATCTTCATGATTTAAATTTTCTATTGAAAATTTGTGATGCTAAGATGATCACTCCCACACTAATCATGAATCATTAAGCAATCGCAATATCTGTAAAAAATAATCACAATAAGATGTTTTTACCATCGTGCAGCCATAGTATAGGCATTTTAAAAGTTGTATACACATCACTTGTAGGTGCAAGGCTACTGGAAATTAGCTTTAATGAAAAGTGTAATGCCTGAACACTGACTCAAAACCTTTGTCAGGTCAGGCATTGAAGCATTGCATTTTTCATATACCTTAGGTGCCACTGACACAGTAACTGCATTACTAACACAAACATCAATAATTTATCTCTACATCTCCACAGCTGACAGGTTTTGCTTATAAGGACTGCTTATACTTAAGGCTATGTAGGCCTTTAAGAGGCCACTTGGTCTTTAAAGTGAACACAGATAAGCTAGTTGACATAAATCACAACAATAGGGAGCTCTTCGTTCATTTTGATCTAATTACTCACTATGGTTATGTTTGTTCTCTGCATGCTAGAAAACTGTGCATGTTGAACCATAGATGAAGGAAGTAAGAGACCCTCGGCTTTTCTTTTTAGTGGTTTTTCAGTAATTTTGAGATTTTCTTGTGAGTTCCACCAGCAGCAACCACTGACTTCTGGAGAAGGACAGTGCAGTAAACACCACAACCCCCCTTATAATGTATGTCAAAACAGCTGCCTGCCAGTTCTACATAAATGTTTGCTTCATTTGTAATATATATATGTATAGGCTCGATATATTGTATGTAGTTAACATAAATCCATCAATTTCAAATTCTGAATGTTTTCCAAATGGCAAGAAGTATGGACAAAGCAAATACATGAAAATGAAGTCAAACTTTGTGTGCTTGATTTATTTATTTGTTTAGTCAACATGACTGTAAAAATGTAATTAATATAATTCTGTTGGTATTTGGAGTTGTAAACATTGTACATAATCATATCAGGACCTGATGGTATGTAACTTTAAAGATACATGGATTTATCAAAATGTTGTGGGTGAGTTTTGTGTTTGTTTGAATCCAAATTTTATTTACAACTTAGTGTACATCATGTCTGCTACAGTTGGACATTTCAATTACTCGTCAATAGTGCATTTATCATCTTGTTTTCTTCTTCACATGTATCTTTCTTTGGTTGTCAACACAAAACATACATTAATCTGGAAGTACATGTCACCCAGTTTTAGTTTTAGTACACAAGAACACGGTATACAAGGCGACTCTTCCAACCTCTCCAACATGAGAACCATGCATTTATCATCTGGATGGATGTAATAAAATGATTAATGTTTATTGATTAAAACATTAAATTGTAATTGTTGCAGTTTATTCAGCAGGGCAGCCTGCTCTTTTTTCCTCCATTGAAGTACCTGTATTCATTGTTAACCAACTCCCTGTCCCATTCTGTGTGGTCTGTACCGATCACAGGTATTTAATTTTTGGAAGGACACACAACATTTCAAAAAGGAGGTTGGCACCAGTCAGTGCAGTATTCCCTGTGGAGAAAAAATTATATATATATAAATAATGGTTGTATTTAAATCAAAACTAATTTGATGAAAAGTAAAGTGTGAAAAGTACCTGTGGTGTCATAGGGTGGAGACACCTCCACTAGATCACATCCAACAAGGTTTAGACCACGACAGCCCCGAATAATCTCAACTCCCTAGAGCCAACACAGATAATAAAAATATATCAATATTCAAAAAGACAATACCAGTAAATTCTTTATATGACTTGTAACATGACAATGTTGTGTCAGATTAAACTCATTGAAGACAGAAAATAGTTTAGAAGGATTAAAGCCTGTTTCACCATGTTTACCTGTATGGGAGTAAGTCCGGCTATCTCTGGTGTGCCTGTTCCAGGGGCAAAGCCCGGGTCAAGAGCATCGATGTCGAAACTGAGATACACTGGACCACTGCCCATCTGAGCCCTGACCTCAGCCATCAGAGGTGCAAGAGATTTGAACCAACACTCTTCCACTTGCACCACACGGAAACCCTGCACAATGTACAAGTCAGGGTTGCTGGTTCAAAGACAATCATGAGTTTTTGCTTAAAAGGGGACAATATGCAACATCATTACTTCCCAAGAGCAGAAAATGCCCCTACGATACTTATTTTCAGGTCTCATTCACCACCGAGAGTCGGTTGAGAAAATCGAAAATCGGAGCCAGCAGCCAGTTAGCTTAGCTGACTGGAAACACAGAGTTTTAAGTCACTGCACCCGGCCAAGAAGAAGCCATGCTGGCTGTTTCCACCTTCTTCCAGTCGTTATACTAAGCTAAGCTAACAGGCTACAGTTGAGGTTTATAATGGGCACAGATTACTCGGTGTCCTTTTCCGTTTTGTCCGTTTTTCTTAGATGCTGTAATGTTTCTAGAATTGTCATTAGTTACTTCACAGTAGTCACAGTAATCTGAGAATGTCAGCACATAATATGCCTTTTGACATGTTGCAGTAGGGAAAGCACAGGGGTGAGTAATTAATGGATGGTGACCTAATTGTCATACTTGGCTTACTTACATCTCAGTACTTTGCTTGGGCTATGCAGTAAAACCAGACTGTTGGCATTCGTCTGAGCCATTGCTTTATGTCACATACAGTATTCTAGCAGTAGTAGGTAATAGGTACCTGCGCCCGGCTCCATTCATATGAATCTGCAGAGTAGCCTGAACCACGCAGGCCGATCTGGACCACTCTCTTGCAGTCCAGTAGCCCCTCCTCCACACAACGTCTGAATGGAGTCCCGTGTCCAATCTTCTCCCCCAGGACCACATCACTGGTGTCCGCATGAGCATCCACATGGACCAGACCCACAGGGCCATGCCTGGCAAATTATTACCAAATAGATTGAGTGTGTTTGAACTGGTTAAGAGGTAGTTAATGTAGATGTGAATTTGTCTAGGTTTTAGCCGAGAAATTAGATAATGATTGATTTGTCATGGGGAGGCAGACATCTACAAAAAATGAACAGTCCTGCAAAAAGCCATACAGTTTATTTAGTTAGCAGAATAATATTACTAATGCATAACAACGTGTATATGAAAATATCTGCTTTAGATCTGAAACAATTCATTAGTTACTGGAGCCGAAGAAGGTTAATCAGCAACAATTCTGATAACTGACCAATCGATGACTTGGTAACTTGGTCAGGATTTACAGGAATGACTCATGGCCTACTTACTTCTCAGCAACAGCCTGCAGGATTGGATATGCGATTGTGTGATCGCCACCTGCAGACATAAAGAACTCCTTAATGTCTGACCTTTGATCGAGGCAATTTGAATGGGTAATAATTGTACAGACATAGCTTCGTTTCATTGTAATAAAACAATCACAGAGCTATCTTGACCTGTCTAGAAGTAAAAAAAAAATGTAAACACCGCCAGTCACTCTCACCCATAGTCAGAGGAATACAGCCAGTAGCCAGGACCTTTCTGTAGGCCTCCCTGATGCGTTTGCAGGTGTCCTTCAGGTCGTACACATTCACATTGACGTCCCCAATATCAGCCACCATGAGGGACTCGTACGGTGCAGCCCTGGTGCCACTGTTGTAAGCTCTCAGCATGGCAGATTCCACTCTGATCTGCCGGGGACCAAACCTGTGGTAGTGGAGGAAATACATTTCATTTCAGTGTAGCTGTGACGGAAACTGGTTTTGGACTGTTATCATTACAGTACCGATTTGATGTTCTTTACTTGAGTATTTCCATTTTACGCCACTTCACACTCTGGACTACATTTGTACATTTTGAGAGGAACTGATAGTAGTGGCTAATAGTTACTTTTCACGTACAAATCATGTTCATCTGACTCATATATCTATTTAGAATTATTCTCCTTATGAATTATGTTTGAATTTATCTTTACAACCATGAGAATTACAGTGGTGGAATGTGACTACGGTAAGTAGATTTACTCAAGTACTAAGTACAAATTTGAGGTACTTCACTTATTACTTTCAGAGGGAAATATTGTACTTTTTAACATTAATTTGACAGCATTTGGTTGCAAATTACTTAACATATATAGAGCTTATAAAATATGTGGCTTTGATAAAAATTAAAGTACCAAACAGTATATAAAAGTAGAGCTGAAAGTCAATCCTGGTCTAGTAGTGGTCTAACTGTGTGATGAAGAAACTTGAAGTTACCAGTGCACATACAGTGAAGCAGGGGCAATCTTGTATCCAGCAGGAAAACTTAGAAAGAATACAATTTCTCTAGATTTGGGAATTTTTTATGATATAGAAGGAGTAGATGGATTATAATGTGGAAATAATCAGACGTACATGTTTGTTCCCAGGTCTTTAAAAGTAGCTCCATTTAAACCAACTACTGCAGAAGAAATGCTGCTTTTACATTAATGCTTTACTAATAATGGTGGAATAAAAGTGTCGGGCTAGTTACTCAAAAAATGTATAACTCATTACTCTTTTCAAAAGTAATTGCATAACTTTACTTATTACTCCCTGCCAACAGTAATTATTTACTCTACTAGTTAAATCACTTTTCTGCTATTCCCCCAAAAATTGGTAATTGTGTCATTTCTCCCCAAAATTCAGACTCATAACGATTAAAGTTTTGTTTCCAGCGTTTCCACCTTCCAAGCTACTTTCCTCCACAATGACAAACAATGAATCCAAGGATGGGATTGGACTGTTGGATTGTTGGGTTGACACCAAAAGTAACGTTGTAACTAATATTTTTTGGGTGGTAATTGTAATATTACTTAAATGTATCAGTAATTAGTTACACTACTAGTTACAAGAGAAAGTATTATTACTAGTAATAAGTTACTGCCCAATGCTGTCTAATATTTTGCGTTGAGTACTTTTAATACTTTAGGTACATTTTCATTCTCACATACTTACATACTTTTACTCAATCTAGAAATTAAATGCAGGACTTTTCTTCTTGTAATCTAATATTTTTTGTGTGGCATTAGTACTTTAACTTAGGTTGCGCTACTGTTAAAAAGAGTAATGTAATAGTGACTCTTGTTGCAACGACACAGGCTTCTCACAGCCAGCAGCAACAAGCCCACAGTGTTGGACAGCAGCTGCAGAGAGAAACTCCACCTGGCTCCAGGTCGGTTGGAGGTCCCGGTATCAATCGGGACGCCGATAAACGCCGCATCAAGCCCGTCCGCTGTCTCCTGGTAGGGTAACTTGGCCATGGTGGGGATCCCTGACACCCTCGCAACAAACTCGGCGCTCGGGGGCACATTGTAGCGTTTCCCTGAGGAATTCCTGTTGGGATTTGTGCAGACAGTCACAGCTGGCCGTAGAGAGAGGAGGAAGTCCGCTGCAGCCCCATTGTAAGACGTAGAAATAACACTGCGAGTTACGTTCAGGTTTCTCCAAAACGAAAACATACTTGCTGACACTTATTCGTGCAACATGGAGCACTGTGAGTTGCGGTGGGACTCACTTCTGCTGACACCTTCAATGTTTCCTCGTAAGCTCGTAACATTGTGTACCGCTTTAACCGTAAAGTCCACCAGGTGTAGTATTTGTGGTTTAGTTAAGTGACAATACGTTGTTGTGTTTAATGCAACCTCTCTGTTTTTTTTCACATAAACGCTACAAAGTGTCACATGAACTCATATGAGATACATTTGCTACTTTTCATGTCGGATCGTGCTCGTGGTTGTCAAAGTTCCGACCCGGTTGTGAGCGTGAAGGCAGCAGTGCAATAGTCCAGTGAGTAACTGGACAGGTGGGAGGGGCGGACTGTGGAAGACCAGTTCTGTCAACAAGTACCTCAAAACTTATGCCTCATGCATGATGGAAATAATAAAAACTCGTGATAAGTCAAAACTGTAATCCACTGTCTTATGATTGGACAAATGTCTGCCAATTGTTAGTTAAACACAGATGTGAGCAGTGTTCAGTTATAGTTGCAATGTGCTACTTTACCACTAAATCCTACACACTGGTCCCTTAAAATATATTTTATTGGCAGAAGATAATGACAGTTACATAACTTGCTAACAGACTGTATGTACCTTGTGTTTAAAGTGTATGGGAAATTAAAACTCACCTTCCTGTTTAGAACATGGGATGGTGGCCAAAATGAGTACTACAACTACAAACAAAAGGGGGGAAAAATCACCAGTTTTCACATGTGAAAAAAAACATCTTTCAGGGCTTCTGTAGATTCTTGAAAAATAAAATTCACAAGACATCAATTGTGTATTTCCACAATTTTTTTTTTTCATATTTTCAGTTTTTTGTAATTGATGATTTGTATGTATGGAAATATCTAATTTGATCAAAAAGTCTGTTAAAATTCTCTCTAGCAGACACAACTTGCGTGTATAATCTCTTTATTTACTTGTGTGTCTGTATACCCCCCTAGACATACAATATGTTCTACTCCTGCATGTAATTTAAAGTATTAGAAATAAAGATTAGGCTATTGAAAGGGAATAGAAAGTATAGCATAACAAGTAGCAACCTCGATTTAAAACGGTACAAAAATGTTTCTTGTTAAAGTTATAGTTCTATTTACAGCTCAGGGTCAATAGTATACATCAAACACCATTCACAATATTTAATTCAGCCCAATTTAACCAGGATAAATTAAACTCCCCTATTTCAGCATTTGATGCACTTGCAGCCACCACACCAGTATCATGTCATCAACACATCCTCCACATGAGTTTTTTGGGGGGTTTTTTGTCTGAATTGCAGCATCTCGGTTTGCTTCTGGGTGTGAAACAGTTACTGCGGCAGACGGAGGAGGGGTTTTTTTTTCAATGTGCGCACTTCACCTGTCCTCCTCAAGAGGCAGACTGTGGCGCATCAGCAGATCATCAGACACCCGCACATCTCAGACACAAAACACTCCTCAAGCTTGTCTCATTACATTGCATAATATCGACAAGCCATCATGGTAAGTGCGATTTTAAATATCATTTCTAGCATTGTATATCCAAATGCCTTGCTTTGAGAGTCTAACCTTAATCCAGTATCAGAAGGGATGGGGAGGAAAGTAGGTCGTGCCTGTGGGATTTCTCCAGTTGTCTCTGCCTCCTTTGTCTGCTATATTCTGTAGCCGTTCGTGACTATAAATGGTTTTTATTAATGCTGTAGGACAAAATAAATAAATAAAAATAGCAGGTTTTCACGTAGTCTAATGCATTAATGCAATGCACTAAACACTTCTAATCCTCTTCCAGCATAACCTTTCTAAATCAGCTTAGATAGCATCGTTAGACCACTGGTTCCACACCGTTTACCCCATTGTGTTCGTCAACCTGATTTTCTGGCCATTTATGCAGCCTTTATATAAATATATATATGAGATTAGAATTCACTGCTTCTTGCTGTAAAGATCATTTTGTGAGAAATGATAAATCCCTCTGATTTTTCTCAGATCTACGTGCTACATAAAACAAAGCCACCTATAATTTCGAAATAAATAGAAAAAAATAAAATATAATAAAAATAGAAATATAAATTGGAAAATAACCTCAGTGAGAATGTGTATGTGTCTTTTTAAAGAAACAGCACGCTGCAAATGTCTGACCTAGATAATCCTCTCTCCCTACAGTAATCCTGTGCGCAATAGGCACAGTCTTATGTCGCAGCAGAAAATGCGTCCCCCCACCCTACCCCACCCTTTACAATGAAAGGTAGACTGAGCTAACACAGAAATAGACCAGAGGTGGAATAATAAATGCTTTTCATGCAAGGTGGGGAGAATTATCTGAAGCCGTTTGTTATTATCTGCAGCATCTTGCAGTTCATTTAAAGGATGGGAGGAAAAAATGCTGATTTTTGGAGAAATCCACGTAGGAAAGGCCCAGTTGTTTTAATTTTGGCCCCTGTTTAATTCTTCAACTTCAATTAGCAACAGCTGCTTTGGAAGGTCTGTTTCCTTCGTCAGATTCAGCTTGTTTAATCCAAATCTTCTTTGTCTGCACCCCAGCGTGAGTGTATCTCCATCCACGTGGGTCAGGCCGGTGTCCAGATTGGAAATGCCTGCTGGGAGCTTTACTGCCTGGAACATGGGATCCAGCCGGACGGACAGATGCCCAGCGACAAAGCCATCGGTGGAGGTGACGATTCCTTCAACACCTTCTTCAGCGAGACTGGAGCCGGAAAGCACGTCCCCAGGGCTGTTTTTGTGGACCTGGAGCCCACTGTCATCGGTAAACTCTCTTTGAATATAGATGCCATAGTTGTCTTGATTTCATTTGGTCAAACCCTTTAAGTCATTTGTGACTCAACCTGTCTCCTTAGATGAGGTGCGCACTGGGACCTACCGTCAGCTCTTCCACCCTGAGCAGCTGATCACCGGCAAGGAGGATGCTGCCAACAACTACGCCCGCGGACACTACACCATCGGCAAAGAGATCATCGACCTGGTGCTGGACAGGATCCGCAAACTGGTGGGGAACTTGATACCAGGGATCCATTCCTAATTTTTATTGAAAATATCAAACTAAATGATTGTATTTGATCTAATATGTGTCTCTCCCTCTCTGTCCTCAGGCTGACCAGTGCACTGGCCTTCAGGGCTTCCTGGTTTTCCACAGCTTCGGAGGTGGCACCGGGTCTGGTTTCACCTCCCTGCTGATGGAGCGTCTGTCTGTCGACTACGGCAAGAAGTCCAAGCTGGAGTTCTCCATCTACCCAGCTCCTCAGGTGTCCACCGCTGTGGTGGAGCCCTACAACTCCATCCTGACCACCCACACCACCCTGGAGCACTCTGACTGTGCCTTCATGGTGGATAACGAGGCCATCTACGATATCTGCCGTAGGAACCTCGATATCGAGCGCCCCACTTACACCAACTTGAACAGGTTGATCAGTCAGATCGTGTCCTCCATCACTGCTTCCCTTCGCTTCGATGGTGCCCTCAATGTTGATCTGACAGAGTTCCAGACCAACTTGGTGCCATATCCCCGTATCCACTTCCCTCTTGCCACCTATGCCCCTGTTATCTCAGCTGAGAAGGCTTACCACGAGCAGCTCTCAGTGGCTGAAATCACCAATGCTTGCTTCGAGCCTGCCAATCAGATGGTGAAATGCGACCCTCGCCACGGCAAGTACATGGCTTGCTGCCTTTTGTATCGTGGTGATGTGGTGCCCAAAGATGTGAATGCTGCCATTGCCACTATCAAAACCAAGCGCTCCATCCAGTTTGTGGACTGGTGTCCCACTGGTTTCAAAGTTGGTATCAACTACCAGCCACCCACTGTAGTCCCTGGTGGAGATCTGGCCAAGGTCCAGAGGGCTGTGTGCATGCTGAGCAACACCACTGCTATTGCAGAGGCCTGGGCTCGGCTCGACCACAAGTTTGATCTGATGTACGCTAAGCGTGCCTTTGTTCACTGGTATGTGGGTGAGGGTATGGAGGAGGGAGAGTTCTCTGAGGCCAGAGAGGACATGGCAGCTCTGGAGAAGGATTATGAGGAGGTTGGAGTCGACTCCATTGAGGGTGAGGGAGAGGAGGAAGGAGAGGAGTACTAAAAGGGACACAAAGGCATTAGCTAAACTTCTAAAGTTCTTAAATACAATACAAGAAATGTTTGTCTATTAGTTACCAGTTTGGCTGTTCAGAGTAAAGTTTAAAATGCCAGTTTTGCTCTGTCCTAAATAAAATTCCTGTAATGTGAACTTTGAACGTTTGTGTTTTTTATTAATGAAACAATACTTTGACTTGAACTTTACATGAATTAGTTGCATGTGATTTGTCTTTCATAACCTTTAAACTAAACCTTATATGAAATCCCCTATCATCAGACATCGAATGGGGAAACTGTAGGTAATAGTAATTTGACAAAGACCAACAGAAAACATTGTACATTACATGTCAAGTTTTGCAGAGTGCGTACAGTACACACAATGTTTGCATTCTACTTTTAAGTATGTTGTACTTATTCAAATAGACATCCTATTTTAGCTTTAGCATAAGCTTTTTCCAATGGTTCAGAGTTCAGATTAATAGTAAAGCTTGAACTCCAAAGTTAAAATGTATAAAAACAGTATCTTGTAACATTTAGTTCTGACAGGAGAGACAGGGTGGGTCTGTGAGCATCATTTCAATTATATTTGAGCCCACTGCATATTAAATAGATATTTTTAATTATAGCTTAAAGTGTAGTTTATATTTAACAGGTTTTTAGTACATTTCTAACAGGACTGCACCAGATGGTTTGTTACACAGAGCCATGCAGGATTCACAAGTCCAGCTGCCTTGCATGTCTTGAATTTTCCTCCTGACTATTGTTGCTAAATCATCTTATCATTAACAGAGCTGTTACAATGGAAACAAGAGGGGTTAAATAAACAGGAAGAATGCTTTTCAATGTTTTTTTCAGATAGATTTATTTATTCACAGCAGAAAAATCTACATATATCCAAAATATTTCTCTCCATCTTTAGTATGAAAACATATCCCTTGTAATCCTCACTGACCCCATGATTATATTTATTTATGCATGTAAGGATGTCAAAATTGTAGACTTAATGTGACTAGTTTTGAGAACCGATTATGGTGAAGTGTGGGGGATTAACCCACTCTATTCAAATCATGGATTTGGCATAATTATTTTATAATTTACAATGATATAGGAAGTATTATAGGAAACCTGGCAACCAACAAACACCAGCAAGTGCAAACATGGACATAAAGTGCAAACCATAGGAACGAGAACAAAACACAATCACATCCTAGAAGTCGGTCAATAGTCTGCGTGTTCCATGCTATCTACCATCATCACTGTGATAACTGCGTAGTAGGTTGTGCAGAGGTTTTTACATGCACTGCATTATGCAGAATGGGTGAATATATGATTATTTGGCTCACAACCTTACACAGACACCCACTGGCAATCTGTTTTTTGCTGACAGTTTGATGCATGTACGAGCTGTTTATAGGCTGCATGTTACTTGCGAATATGTAAAACTTAATTTAGCCCTACACTGTAGGTTCTGACAAGTACAGTGTGTACTTTCTACTCTAACAACAACAACAACAAACAACTACTGTATGAGTGGGGTCTTCCTTATCAAATATCTAAAAAGTGCATGTTAAAGAAAATGCCAACTCTTATAACAGAATTACCAGTAACCATTGGTACCTAGCATTTCTGGGCCAGTTTAGTTGTTTGGTGATAACAAACAACACTCATTTCAGGAAAAAATAATCATAGAAAACAGCAATAACAAGGTTTTTTCAGCAGCAGCCTCATGATGTAATGCACCAACAAGACCTGTTGCATTTTGCATTGCACTAGGGACACTAGCAGCAGTTTGTTTTAACTCCTGCTGATGCTGTAGTGCTGTAGTGATGCTGAGTTTGGGAGAACACAATCTGGGAAATGCAGATCAGCAATTTCAGCAGCCTGGTTTAACAAAGATCGGGCAATCCGAAAAGGTGAATTACACCATGTGATAATTAACAATAAATGTCACAGAGGATGTAGAACGGTGTAAGAGTACAGTGTCAGTGGAGTTTGCCTTTAATAGCCATTAGATGTAAAGGCTAAGACTATACATATTACAAATACAGACGTCAGGCTGAATATCAGAGCACGTTTTAACTCTAGACTATCAATATCAATGACTATGTGTCTGAATGAGTGAGAGTGGATCTAAGCTGACAGAATGCAGGCCTGACGCTGCTCTCGCCCATACAGGAGGAAACCCACAGCGGTGCGCAGGTCCTCCAGGTCCAGGTTAGACAGGAAGCTCCTCTGAAGCTCCGCCTCCACCGTGTACCCACTGGGTCCACTGCAGCCTTTCAGGAGAACCACAGCAGACTGGCACAACAACCAATCAGCCAGCTTCTTCATGCCAATGCTGTCCTGATTGGCCAGGGCCTTCCGTCCCCAGAGGCTAAGATGTAGCATGTTAGCTGCCACACGGGCACTGGGGCGCTGCAGAATAACAATAACATGTATGAGAATTGTAGCACAAAAGAGTCAACTGTTAATATAACCAGAGTGCTGGTAGACTACTACCACACAGAACAATTGGGCAATTATTACATGTGTACATATGTGAGTGCAAACTTGGTTAGCTCCACCGAGTAATATTCTTGTATTAACATTTAGCAAAAATGTGTAATGTGAAAGGAGTCACTGGTAGTGACGTATCACCTTATAAGTTTCCCACTATGAGTGTTTTCTCAAAATTGTTGTACAGTAACAGGGTTTTAGTGCTACTTGTAGTTACTAATTTACTATCTTATCTATCTTATCAAATAAATGCAAATGTTGCTTTCCATGTCTGCTGGATATATAAATAAGCAATATATAATATGCCAATGTTGTGATTACGGCTTCTTGCATTGCCCCCAAGTGGCCAAAGTAATAAATAAATAATGATGTTAAAGTTATTTTTATAGCTATTGATTTAATTGTATACATAACTGTCTAATTTATGACCTGCTTTTAAGAATTTTCCACCTTGGATTACCCTCTTGGGTCCTATCAATCACTGACCGAGCACACAGTATCCTAACAAACCCTTCACAGTCCCTGCTATACCTTGCTTGGGTTCCTCCTGAGGAGCAGTCGTGTCACTAACTGCACATCAGCTGGAACACTGGCGGGCAGAGGAGGAAGCTGCTTCTCCTGGTAGCTCCTGCTCTCCAGTCCCACGGCTCGATAGAACGGGTTATGCTGTCCAAATATCTCATAGGAGATGGCACCCACAGCCCAGGCATCCGCCTTGCTGTAATCAATCACCACACCAGACCCTGGAACTGCAGTGGTCACCTTTGGGCGGACATGTCATAAAAATAATAGAAATTACACACAGCCTTTCTTTTTGACATTTTTCTTTTACTTAACAACAATAAAGAGCTACTTAAGCCTACCTCAGGGGCCATAAGGGAGGCATTTCCTCCTCTGTTGACCCACATGCTGTTGAAGGGGAGCTGTAGACTAGAGTCACTCTGGGCCAGGCAGCATCCAAAGTCAGTAATCACCAAACGAGGGCAACCATCTGCAAAAAACGAAAATTAATAGAAATTTTACGCAGAACTAATGGAATCAAATGTTGAACTGTTCTCTAAATAATTAAATATTTCACTGACCAGAGTCAAACTCCAACAGCACGTTGTCTGATTTGAGATCCCTGTGAGCAACACCCTGTCTGCACAGATGGTCGACCCCCTCAAGGAGCTGTAGCATCATCAAAGAGCCCTGCCTGCGGCTTGGTGTGGACCCTTCCAGGTACTGTCGCAGTGTGCGAGGGTAGCTATAACAGAAGAGGACAAGATGCTAGTGCTACTGAACTGCATACCTTCAGCTGTCTCACATACACCTGCTAAGAGTTTTAATCTTTAAGATTTTCATGAAATCAAGGACAGTTTCTGATGCTATTTATGTGGTGGGGTCCGCCATTTACGCACGGGATTCAAATCACACGGACGAGGCATTCACAGGAAATGATGTAGCATGTCCTGTGTTTCATCTTTTGTTTCATTGTCTTACTTCTTCATCACCAGGAAAAGGGTGCGATTGTTGCCCAGACCATCAGGGTTGAGCCTTGCTGGCAGCACATCTGGATACTCCTCCTCGGCACCTGGTAGCAATGGGACATCCGCCGTGAAAGCCCGGTACACTCTGATCACATTCGGGTGTGCTGACACTCTTTTGGGCAAGACTCCAAAATGTCTGCATGTGTAGAGATTACAGTCATTCATGGGCAACTTTCCTACACACGTTCAATCCTTCAGGACTAGTAATGAACTATGAGTGCACTGAATGTATAATACTTACCCATCCAGAGTGATTTGTTCGTTTTCTTGCTTTAAGGCCTGAGCAGCTGCAGGCACCAACTCCTGTGACATGGATTTTAATATTGCCTCGCTTGACGACCCTGCCTGTAATCAAATCAAAAAAACACCTGTAAGTACTGATGTGTACTCGAGGTCGTCCACAAGACAAACGCCTTAAATTGTGGGGGAATGTGTAGGATATAGTAAAAACACCCACCCCAAAGTTCCACATCATCTTGATAGCCAGAGGGAATTTTTTTAGCGAGCAGCACGTCAGCGACCGATTGGTCTCCCCTTCCTCTTCATCTTCCCTAAGCTGCACCAGGGATCCATTTTCCCCCCCCTTTGGTGGGGCAAACGGAGCTGCAGCCTCATACACGGCGGCGTTGGAGCCTTTCCCAATCTGATTCCCAATAATGTAATCCTCCAGTTTATATCCAGAGGTGAAGGGCTTGAGTGGGGTCTGGAACCTTTTCTTGCTAAACACAGCCTGTAGATCGTGTAAATATATTTTTTAAGATGCAGAAAGTTTGTGTGCACATCCTAAGGGTCAAACTTAGGATATCCTTAGGACAAATTCAGTCAATAGAGAGCATCCACACACTGGATTAAAGTCCCTAAAACATTTTTTACAATCAAATTATATGTTTTTAAATATTTCACAAAGACTCAGTAAAGTCAAAACTGTTTCCTTTTTTTTAGTACAATAAAGTTTTGGCAGCTTTAATCTAGACATATTTCTTAATACATAAGAGCAAGATGTAGATAATGTAATAATATATCATTAGATATTTGTAAATAAGTCAGGTTAACCAAAGTCAAATGCATTATGTTTTGCAATGGTTTAACCATGTCAGAAGTAAAAGGGAAATATACAGGATTCATATAAAGTAGGTGGATAACTTATATCTATTAATAGACACATAATCCATGATATGACCCAATAATTGAACTACCAGTGGTGGGAAAAGTACTAAAATCCTGTAATAAAAGAAAACTGGTTATACCACATTGTAAAAACATTTAGGTACAGTACAAAAACAGGCTATTATCAGCTAAATATATTCAAGTAGCAACAATATTATGCAGAATGTTATATTACTATTCAGAATCAGGTTTATTGCCAAGTAAGTTTTTACACCTACAAGGAATTTGTCTTGGTGCATTAAAATCACATAAAAATAAAGTACTTTTAAAATATAAATAAATAAAGATAAGAAAGATAAGAAAACTGTACAGAAAACGGGAGTGCATTAATGTTATGCATATATACAGGGTTAATGGGGGGTTCGGGCCTTGTTAATGAGGCCAGCTGCATAATAATACATTTTATTTAATATTGGATTATTGTTATTGATAACATGTAAACAGCATTTTAGTGTTGTGGTTGGTACAGCATTAAAACATTTAACTGCTTTGTTTGGTAATTTAATCTAAACAATGTATAAAATGTCATAAATGGACCATGTTTTGTATGTAAAATCAGCAAGTAACTAGTAAAAGTTACATGTAGTAGAGTATAAGTAGCATACAATGGAAATACACAAAGCACAAGTAGTACAACACAACTTTACTTTATTAAAAACACTTGATCTGATGCACTAACTTTACCTGGATCTCCTGGCAGGTCGCAGCACTCTTTCGATCATCCTCAAGCTGTTGTTCGATGAGCCCCACGCCGAGACCAAAAGCCAGAAACACGGCCCTGTTTCGCGGGGAGCCACCGCCAAACCTTCTCCTGAAGCCGGCGGACTGAAGCTGGGCTGCCAGGCCCTTCAACGAGGTGCGATAGTAGCGGTACCGAGACGGCAGGAAAGCCTGAGGCTGAACGGTGCGGACCGACGGGCCTACACGAAAACGGTCAGCTCGGAGCTTTGCTACGACTCGGCCACCCGACTTAAGGAGACCCAGCTGAAAGACAGACCGGCCCAACTCGAGCCCCCGGCTAATGGCGTGTTTTACAGACATAATTTACCCGGAAAAGGTAATTTAAGCTGTTTGTTGTGTCCGCTGGTGTCCCGCAGTCCTCAGCTGTCTCTAGCAGTATGATGTAAACAAAACAGCTGCTACTGGGCATGCGCGAGAGTGACAGGCGACCTATATATCTTTATTTTATTTTTATTTAGATTTATTACAGACGAACTTAATATAAACTTAATAATAATTACGTGAATGTACAACACATTATTATTATTATTATTATTATTATTATTATTATTAAGACCTATTGTAATTGTAGGAATTATTATTATTTTTCTTCCCATTTTTGAACACTTTAAAAAAATGACAAAATGAGTGACAGGAAATGTAGAGTGCAAAGTTAAAATTTCATATCGAGCAGCTTTTTGTCTTGAGATGGGTCTTTGTTTTTGTATTTTATAATTTATTTTTGTAGCACTCTGTTCCATGTTGAGTATATTAATAAAGCCATATAAATAATAAACATTTGATATAATGTATGTATTTACGTTAGTAATCCATTTTACACATGATTTGGTAATAAATTAATTTAAGCAACAAAAAATCTGAGGAGCCACTTTGGAGCCGAAAGAGCCGGCTCTTTTTAGTGAGCCGACCCAAAAGAACCGACTCTCTAAAAAGAGCCGGAATTCCCACTATATTGAATCGAATGTCAAACCAGCATAAATATAGGGGGAGAGAGAGAGAGAGAGAACGGATGGGATTGGGATGGGGGTCGTGGGAGGGATATACTGTAGTTAATAACTTATAAGGCTTGTTTTCTGTTTCTTTTATTAACCACTCCCTATCTGCAGGGCTCTGATTCGTTCCCAAAAACAGCTGGTCAAGTCTTTTCTCTGAGTCGTGGAGTGAGACTCTTCTTCATCAACACTTTGGACTTTTTGCTGAAACTGTAAGTTAGCATGTTTGATAGTTTAACAACAAGGTTGTCTTCACTCACTTTAGACTTTGGTGCATGCTCTTTAATGTTTGTAGTAGTTGTTCAGCTCTTATTTCAGGACAGAGTTCAACTGTTGTGTTTGAAGAGAAATCTACATGTTGTTTGATTATTGATTGACTGGAATCAAACAATATGATCAACAGCTGATGTTTGTTTCCTTTATTCAGCTGTTAGAAAACTAACTACATTGTGCTTTTTGAACCGTCTCCACCAGCATGAGGTCACACACAGCAGTATACTAATGTTTCCTGTTAGTCCTTTCAAAATGCTGACTTGCTACTTTTTATGGGATTGCTGCAAGCTATTATTCATCTTTTTGATATTGGTTACAGTTATTGAGATATGAATATTTCACTCTAATAGTTTTTTTAATGGCCTGTTAATGGGAGTTACATATACACATCAAAATCTCAAATATTACAAATGCTAAAGTCAGTAAAACCTGCAACACAGAAATAAACCACCTCCTGTTTAGGCCACCAGAACTCCTTTTTCAGGCGGACTTCAGAAGGGGACCACAATGACGGCTGACGACCTGCTGAAAACACTAGAAGATTTAACAGACGAGGAATTCAAGAAATTCAAATGGTATCTGAAGCAGCCTGGCATCCTTGAAGGCTACCAAACCATCAAAACATCCAAGCTGGAGAAGGCAGAAAGGTTGGACACATTGGATCTGATGTTGAACACCTTTAAACCTCACGGAGCTCTGATGGTGACCAATAATCTTTTAAAGAAGATTCCCAGGAACGATCTGGTGCAGAGTCTTCCAGACACCAGTTCAGGTCAGTCACACTTTTTGGAGAAGCAGACAGGAGAAACAGGAGAAAAAGTAAAATTTCATGCTATAAAATACTAGCAACTCTGATAATCTTTGTTGTGTCTTTATTCAGAAAGTGACTCTGATTGTCAACATAAACTCAAATCTAACCTAAGGAAGAGTTTCCGGTGTGTGTTTGAGGGGATTGCTAAGGCAGGAAACCAAACCCTTTTGAACCAGATCTACACAGAGCTCTACATCACAGACGGAGGGACTGCAGAGGTCAATGATGAACATGAGGTCAGACAGATTGAAACAGCATCCAGGAAACCAGACAGACCAGAAACAACAATCAGACAAGAAGACATCTTTAAACCCTCACCTGGAAGAGATGAACCAATCAGAACAGTGATGACAAAGGGAGTGGCTGGCATCGGGAAAACAGTCTTAACACAGAAGTTCACTCTGGACTGGGCTGAAGACAAAGCCAACCAGGACATACAGTTCCTGTTTCCATTCACTTTCAGAGAGCTGAATGTGCTGAAAGAGAAAAAGTACAGCTTGGTGGAACTTGTTCATCACTTCTTTACTGAAACAAAAGAAGCAGGAATCTGCAGGTTTGAAGAGTTCCAGGTTGTGTTCATCTTTGACGGTCTGGATGAGTGTCGACTTCCTCTGGACTTCCACAACACTGAGATCCTGAATGATGTTACAGAGTCCACCTCAGTGGGTGTTCTGCTGACAAATCTCATCAGGGGGAAACTGCTTCCCTCTGCTCGCCTCTGGATAACCACAAGACCTACAGCAGCCAATCAGATCCCTCCTCACTGTGTTGGCTTGATGACAGAAGTGAGAGGGTTCACTGATCCACAGAAGGAGGAGTACTTCAGGAAGAGGTTCACAGATGAGCAGCAGGCCAGCCGAATCATCTCCCACATCAAGACATCACGAAGCCTCCGCATCATGTGCCACATCCCAGTCTTCTGCTGGATCACTTCTACAGTTCTGGAGAAAGTGTTGAAGACCAGAAAAACAGGAGAGCTGCCCAAGACCCTGACTGACTTGTACATCCACTTCTTGGTGGTTCAGTCCAAACGGAAGAACATCAAGTATAATGGAGGAGCTGAGACGGATCCACACTGGAGTCCAGAGACAAGGAAGATGATTGAGTCTCTGGGAAAACTGGCTTTTGAGCAGCTGCAGAAAGGCAACCTGATCTTCTATGAATCAGACCTGACAGAGTGTGGCATCGATGTCAGAGAAGCCTCAGTGTACTCAGGAGTGTTCACACTGGTCTTTATAGAGGAGAGTGGACTGTACCAGGACAAGTTTTTCTGCTTCATCCATCTGAGTATTCAGGAGTTTCTGGCTGCTCTTCATGTCCATCTGACATTCATCCGCTCTGGAGTCAATCTGCTGGCAGAACAACAAACAACAACCCACAAATATAAATTCTTCAGAGACAAACCTAAACAACAGTTCTACCAGAGTGCTGTGGACAAGGCCTTACAGAGTCCAAATGGACACCTGGACATGTTCCTACGCTTCCTCCTGGGACTTTCACTGCAGACCAATCAGACTCTTCTACGAGGTCTGCTGACACAGACTGGAAGTGGCTCAAAAACCAATCAGGTATTGGTGGAGTACATAAAGAAGAAGATCAAAAATACTCCCTCTGCAGAGAAAAGCATCAATCTGTTCCACTGTCTGAATGAACTGAATGATCATTCTCTAGTGGAGCAAATCCAACAATCCCTGAGATCAGGAAGTCTCTCCACAGTTAAATTGTCTCCTGCTCAGTGGTCAGCTCTGGTCTTCATCTTACTGTCATCAGAAAAAGATCTGGACGTGTTTGACCTGAAGAAATACTCTGCTTCAGAGGAGGCTCTTCTGAGGCTGCTGCCAGTGGTCAAAGCCTCCAACAAAGCTCTGTAAGTGTGTAGAATTTTTTTTCATTTCAGAAAGAATTAAATGTGCTGTTATTGTTTCAAATGCAAAGAATCTTCCCTTTGTCTACTCATTATTTCCTCTCCAGACTTAGTGGCTGTAACCTCTCAGAGAGAAGCTGTGAAGCTCTGTCCTCAGTTCTCAGCTCCCAGTCCTCTAGTCTGAGAGAGCTGGACCTGAGTAACAACAACCTGCAGGATTCAGGAGTGAAGCTTCTGTCTGCTGGACTGGAGAGTCCACACTGTATGCTGGAAACTGTCAGGTTTGATCAGCTATCTTTGTTTTTCCTGCATTGTTTGAATTGGTTTATTTATCTTAAATGTGCCACTGTCACATGTTAAAATCTGACTGCTTCAAAGATCTGGCTTTATCTAGGGCATGTACATGGACTCTATGTATTAATTTTAAGTTTTGTGCAACTGAGAACTTTGGTAATTTGATTTATATAGCTATGACATAGGTTTTGATTAAAGGCTTTGGTGATATACATATCTGGCTGCTGCCAGTGGTCAAAGCCTCAGTATAGGAGTGAGAAAAGGTGCACCCAGGCTGGCAGAGAAGAGGGGGGCAGAGCAAAGTGTTGAGACCTAAGGGATTAAGCAATGGTTCCAGTACGCTGGTTCTACTATTGAGCTGAAAACAAACAACACCGGTGAGGGGGGTGCCCACTTAAATAGCCCAATAAACTCACAAAAGGTTGGAAGTACAAGGCTCTGCCCTAGGAAGATGCCAACTATGCCAAGTGTCTCACAGAAGCCACAGGAGGCAACTCCTGCCAGGAGAGGCGGCTGCAAGACAACATTGTGTTAAGACATGATTATTGGCTTTAGTGCTATACCCAAACATAGGGCTGCTGTCAGTGGTCAAAACCTCCAAAAAAGCTCTGTAAATTGTATTTACTAATAATTACATTGCTATGTTTAAACAGGAGCATACAATAAACAACTTATTACTTGTTTCTTCCTGTCATCTCTCCAGACTGAGTGTCTGTAACCTCTCAGAGAGAAGCTGTGAAGCTCTGTCCTCAGTTCTCAGCTCCCAGTCCTCTAGTCTGAGAGAGCTGGACCTGAGTAACAACAACCTGCAGGATTCAGGAGTGATGCTGCTCTCTACAAGACTGAAGAGTCCACAGTGTACACTGGAAACTGTCAGGTCAGATCAATTATCTTTGTTTTTTCTGCATTGTTTCATTTGGTTTATTTATCTTAAATGGGTCACAGTCACAAGTTAAAATCTGACTTCTTCAAGGATCTATCTAGGGCATGTACATGTACTTGTGTATTCATTTTCAGTTTTGTCTCCAAAATAAACAACAGAAAAAATAATTATGCAATCTTGTTTACTCACTAATATTGCAGGCTATAACATAGCTTATTTATGGTTTTGATGATATACCCAAAAATGTGGCAGTGGTCAAACCTCTGTAAATAGGATTTTCTTAATCAATAAATACACTGCGCTATCTTTTAACAAGACCAAAAAAAACATATTACTTGTTTCCTTTCTGTTGCCCTCCAGACTGAGTGGCTGTAACCTCTCAGAGAGAAGCTGTGAAGCTCTGTCCTCAGTTCTCAGCTCCCAGTCATCTAGTCTGAGAGAGCTGGACCTGAGTAACAACAACCTGCAGGATTCAGGAGTGAAGCTGCTCTCTACAAGACTGAAGAGTCCACAGTGTACACTGGAAACTGTCAGGTCAGATTAAGCCACAGTGTGTCTCAAATTATTTAAGTTTTTTATAGTTACCCTGCTCCATAGTTTCTGCTTTTCTTTGTATCATCTTATTCATTCAGTATTTTCTATTTTATTTTATAGCACCTACCTCTCCTCTTATGTCAGTAACTTCACTTCTTGTCTTTGTGTGTTTTCCTGTCTGTGTGATTATCTGCCTTACCCCGATGAGTTTCACTATTTACACTCACTATTTAGTGAAAGTCTTTAACCTAGTTAAAGTTAGTATTAAGGTTTTGAACATTTTTAATAAATGAATGTACTTCACCAATTCTGTCTTTGTTTGCCTAGATTGTCTTTACTGTATCACCTGATATCCATATTCTCATACTTATTCATTATTTCCTCTCCAGACTAAGTGGCTGTAACCTCTCAGAGAGAAGCTTTGAAGCTCTGTCTTCAGTTCTCAGTTCCCAGTCCTCTAGTCTGAGAGAGCTGGACCTGAGTAACAACAACCTGCACAATTCAGGAGTGAGGCTTTTGTCTGCTGGACTGGAGAGTCCACATTGTACATTGGAAACTCTCAGGTCAGATCATTTATCTTTGTTTTTCCTGCATTATTTCAATTGGTTTATTTATCTTAAATGGGTCACAGTCACAAGTTAAATTCTGACTTCTTCAAAGATCTGTCTTTAACTAGGGCATGTACATATACTTGTGTATCCGTTTTCAGTTTTGTCTCCAAAATAAACAACTGAGAAAATCATTATGCAATCTCAATCTCGCTCACTAATAGCACAGGCTATAATAACTATAGCTTATGATTTAAGGCGTTGGTGACATACCCAAACACACTGGGGCTGCCAGTGGTCAAAGCCTCCGACGAAGCTCTGTAAGTGGGATGTATTAAGCTAGTTGGAAGGAAATTGGGAAATGGGAATTGTGGATATGAAACATGTCCTGACATAATTTTTATTATGTTTTGGTGCTATATAAATAAAACTGAATTGGATTTCTTCATCAATAAATACACAGTGATCTTTCACAGGAGAAAAGAATAAACAACTTCCTTCCTGTCAACTCTCCAGTCTTAGTGGCTGTAACCTCTCAGAGAGAAGCTGTGAAGCTCTGTCCTCAGTTCTCAGTTCCCAGTCCTCTAGTCTGAGAAAGCTGGACCTGAGTAACAACAACCTGCAGGATTCAGGACTGAAGCTTCTGTCTGCTGGACTGGAGAGTCCACATTGTACACTGGAAACTCTCAGGTCAGATCAAGTCACATTTATGTTATTTCTCTAAATTTTAATCTCAATTTAAGTTGAACAGCCACTCTCATATCAAGATTTCAAATTTCACAGCACAGAAAATCTGAATTTTCAATGTGTTTTGTTCAAATTTATATTCACATATTGTACAGCACAAAATATCAACAGATGGAGTACCTTTTTTATGTTTTCATACCATGCGGTTTATAATTGCATGTAGGTTTAATACTGATTCAGGAATGATTTGTTGTTATGTTTCCAACATATTTAGAATAAAAAGGTAAGGATTTTAACATATCCTATGAAGAGTGTATATACTTTATCACAAACAGTCAAGACTCACCATTTAGGACAATTATTATATCTCTTCTTGTTCATTATTTCCTCTCCAGACTGAGTGGCTGTAACCTCTCAGAGAGAGGCTGTGAAGCTCTGTCCTCAGTTCTTAGCTCCCAGTCCTCTAGTCTGAGAGAGCTGGACCTGAGTAACAACAACCTGCAGGATTCAGGAGTGAGGCTTCTGTTGTCTGGACTACAATGTCTATTCTGTACACTTGAAAGTCTCAGGTCAGGATTAATCAACCCTGTAAACTAATGACTTAAAGTCTAATTAACATGAGTTCATAAACAGCTATGGTGTGTAGGATTGTGTCTGCTAATATGATTGTTGTTTTTATACTACATTGACTTTTAATGGGGTTAATTGTTCCTCTGTCATGCCCTGTATGCCTGTTCTGGTACTGCTGTCCTTATGTATGACAGTGGTTTAGGTGACCTGCATGTGACTTTGATTACTGGATGTCTGTTTATTCTGTATTCCCTCATGATTTGTTACATATACAACATGTTTTGAATCAAACATCAAGGATTTAATATGGTTATAAGAGTTTATGTATACTGTATCACCAGACTGGACATTTTAACAGAAATGTTATATGTCTCTTCTTCATTATTTCCCCTCCAGACTGAGTGTCTGTAACCTCTCAGAGAGAAGCTGTGAAGCTCTGTCCTCAGTTCTCAGTTCCCAGTCCTCTAGTCTGAGAGAGCTGGACCTGAGTAACAACAACCTGCAGGATTCAGGAGTGAAGCTTCTGTCTGCTGGACTGGAGAGTTCACATTGTACACTGGAAACTCTCAGGTCAGGATTCATCAACCCAGTCAACTGATGACCAACATGTTATATAACACATTTTTAGCATTCCCACTGTAAGCTTTTTAGCATGTTGATCTTAGTATTTAGCTACTAAATACTACTGAATTTTTTATTCATTTACTTTGAGACGGTCTCTGCTTGTATTGGACGCAGCAGTACCCTCAGATGTTCTGCCGTGTGTGTTGTTTTGTGTGTTTTGCAGGCTGTCAGGCTGTCTGATCACAGAGGACGGCTGTGCTTCTCTGGCCTCAGCTATGAGGTCCAACCCCTCCCATCTGAGAGAGCTGGACCTGAGCTACAATCATCCAGGAGACTCAGGAGTGAAGATGTTGTCTGAGGGAGTGCAGGATCCACACTGGAGACTGGACACTCTCAGGTAGGAAGATGCCTGCTGCAGCCACAGACAATCAGTCAGATAGCCATGGTCCCCATCATCTTCTTTTCTAGATGTTTACTCTTAATCCCATCCAAAGAGTTATTGGCTAGCGTTATGTATATTATATTATAAAAAAGCAGTTAATTCTCATGTCTTCTGACATACTGTCCCCTGCTCTCCATATCAGTCGACTACATGCAGGCCATGTTACTGCTGGATGCAGTTTTTATGCTGTATGCAAAAGTGGCAAACAGTGCATGTTGTTGAGGTAATGTTGGATGTTGTCCTTCTTTCACACACACCAACATCTTTGTGGCTCACTCTGTGTATGAGGAGAGTTTACAGATTGTGTATCTGTGTATGACACTGATGTAATGTCCATGTTTGCATGCTGAAAGAGGATGTGCTGGTCTGACCCCCCTCCTCCTTTCAGGGTGGAGCCTGCTGGAGTCCGATGGTTGAGAGCAGGTCTGAGGAAGTGTAAGTGTGAAAACAAAGCAGCACACATTCAACCATCTTCACACTGTGACATCACTCATTCAGAGCTCTGATGTCATCATCAAAGTGTCCATCAATGATCAGATGATAGATCAATAACTGCAGCTGTATTGTGTCTCGTTCTCTCCATCAGATTCCTGTGAACTCACAGTCGACACAAACACAGTGAACAGAAAACTCAAACTGTCTGACAACAACAGGAAGATAACATATGTGGAGGAGGATCAGCCATATCCTGATCATCCAGACAGATTTGACTACTGGCCTCAGCTGCTGTGTAGAAATGGTCTGACTGGTCTCTGTTACTGGGAGGTTGAATGGGCAGGAGGAGTTTTTATATCAGTGACTTACAGAGTAATCAGGCGGAGAGGAGACAGTGAAGACTCTTTGTTTGGAAGGAATGATCATTCCTGGAGACTGAACTGCTCTGATGGTCGTTTCTCTGTTTGTCATAATGACAGAAGACCCTCTTCCTCCTCCCCCTTCTCCTCCCCCTCCTCCTCCTCTGTCCCTAACAGAGTAGCAGTGTATGTGGACTGTCCTGCTGGCACTTTGTCCTTTTACAGAGTCTCCTCTGACACACTGATCCACCTCCACACCTTCAACACCACATTCACTGAACCACTTTATCCTGGGTTTGGCTTTGGAATCTGTTCTTACTGGTCTGGTTCCTCTGTGTCTCTGTGTTCTCTGTAGGTGGAGGTCAGGTGCTTTTAATTGATGCATCAATGAACTTTGTACAAAGAATTTCAATTTCACTGGAAATATTCCTTGCTGACACTTTGTGTGTGTGTGTGTGTGGGTGGCTCTTGTTACGATAAAAGCAAGAAATATTTGTAATGCTTTAACAAGTATGTTACATTGCTCCACTGTGATGATCGTCTCTTTATGTCTTTAGTGACATAATAAACAGGTGAATGAGAAAAGTGTTTGCAAACATTTGTCCATGTTTGTGTGTTTTTGAAGAAGAAACAAATGGACATTTTCCATCAGAATAATTGTGCATCCCTCAGTGTTTTGTGGCTTTTTCTGACACTTTCAGGTTAGCGTTTTGTTTTATATAGACTTTATTTCCATCCAAATGTAGTGCACATTTTAAGTTTCGCACTGTGTTTTTACCATTAATAAAAAGAACAACAGAGTGACACGTCTGTTCTCCATTTGTTAATCAGCGAAATCTAAAGACATTCATGATTAAAAGTTGTGCAATTTGCGACATTCCATTGAACACCCGAGACGTGGCGTCCAGTTTCAACAATTCGCCATGAAACAGGAAGGAAAGGGCGAGGAGAAGGGGAAAAATATGCTTTTCCTGGCATAAACAGCTCATGATGGACGTTTTAAAACTAGTGATACAAAGCTTCAGTGGTTTTGGACCACTGTAGGGACAGAAAGACTCCAAACAAACTCAATAGGCTACAGTAAACAGTCAGTATCAATAAATCAATAAATAAATAACTTCAATTATCTTCTGGACTCACAAGGACCCAGTTTAAAAACTTCAGAAACATTTTTTTCTTCCCATTTCTTTTATTACAAGCTTTATTTAAATAAGTTACTAACAACACCTGAAGCCAGGGGATTTTCTTCTGCCTTTCCGATCATCTCTGGTTCATTTATAATCTTCATTTTTAACAATAAAATTAACTTTCATCATTTATTTTTAGAGACATCTAAAAATCTGATGACATCTGATGAACAGATGGGAAGTTTGAATACCCAACTAACTTGTTTAGTGTTGGTGTGTATGACGTCAATTGTCAATTTGCAATGTTATGAGTTACATTAATATTTGACTTTATTCAATTATCTCAACGACCATCATATACCGTGCAACTTAAACAATCTGTAATGGATAATTACTCAGTTTTATTACTTTAAATCCACAATAAACAGACTGAAACTCAACATAGACTGCATGGGTCAGAGTATGTGGACACCTACATTTCAAACTCATTTTTGATAGTTGAACATGTAAATCCAAAACGATGGGTACACAAAGTATGCGGACAGGAGAGTTTAGTGTAATCATACTATAATCAAACACCTTTACAAGCACTCCTGCTGATCCTGATGGTTAGTAGGTCAGATTATGACATTATACCTTAAAAAACAGTTATGTAAATTATATTGAAATTCCTGTTAAGATATGTAACAATGAAAAGCTTATCCCAGCTGAACTGCATAAATATTTCACTGACTGGGGATACTTTCCTAATGTTACACCAGAATAAAGAGGTACAATTAGTCAGCTTATTGACCCAGTACTTTGGTGTGATGTCCTTAAAGCTACACCAATCAATACTCGGATATTTACATTGGAGTAAATGTGAATGAGATGTAATGTGAAATGTGTTGACAAACAAACAGTCTGTAGAGCTGACATAAACAGCAGAGTCTGGTGATATTTCCTTGTGGGATCGTCAGATTTGTCACTTTGAGATAAATATGTCATTTCATTCAATGTAAAATAAAATTTTAAAAAAATGCTGAATATGGCCTGGTGATACTTTGATATTATTACTGATTTTAACCATATTGCCCTGGTCTACTGATTAATGCAGCGTTAACATCGTGCTACAACTACTGCTACTACCACTACTATTCCTGTTACTACTACTAATAATGGTAATAATAATGGGTTTATTTCTGTATCTCATTTCAGAGCAATGAATGAATGAATGAAAAGCAATTAATAATTAGCATGTTAACATATTTCCAGGAAACATTAGATCTAGAAATGACTGATAACCCTGGCTCTATATAGCATACCCCAACATTATAAATTGCAATTAAACTTAGTGTGTAAAGTTTACAAAGTAATAACAAAGTAAAGTTATTATTAATAAAAAAAGGCAATTTAAAATAATGTTGTGAATGGGCTGCTCATCGAGGATTGTGGTGACTGTTCATGGTGTGTCATTTTCCATAACCCAGTTGATCCACTGGATGTAGTTCCGCACTTTGGTGTAGACTCCAGGATAGTATGCATTTGCGCAGCTGATACCCCAGGAGACAATACCCTCAAACTTGCCATTACAGACAAGGGGACCACCAGAGTCACCCTGTGGATCACCAACACACATATTTTGGTACAAGATCTTTTCAGTTCCACTTTTGAATGGTATACACATTGCTATGAATGTACCAGAGTTAGTTAAAAGTCCAGTTTGAAATATCTCAACAACTAGATTTGTCATTAAATTTCATTTATACAATACACAGCATGCAGAGCAATACAAAGGGAAATATCAATTATAATGAAATAATATGTAACATACAAGACAACATTATTAGGTACTGACTGAAGTAGTCAACACAACCGTTCAACACACAAAGCATGCAACACAATAGACAACAAAGGAAAAAAAGTCTGTACCTGGCAGGAGTCTTTGCCACCCATCTGGGATCCAGCACACAGCATGTTTGAGGTGATCCTCCCCCAGTAGTAATAAGAGCAGTAAGGCATAATTTTCACATCCACGGCACGTAGCACAGGGGAGAGGTAGTTACTGTAAACCTGTGTCACACCCCAGCCGCTCACTGTGCAGTCGTTATTATAAAGTTGAGGAGTGTTATCATCAGGCAGAGCAACCGGCTGGACATAGGCATTCATCTGTGCAGGCTCACTCAGCTGTAACAGAAGTTACAGCTCCATAGCTTAAACATGTTGACCAAAAAATCCACACTGTACATCCATGAACAAGCATGAAGAGTGTATGTATCAAGAACTCCATATCTTGTATTTCAGGCCACTATTCTTCTGCCTACCTTGATGAACATGATGTCGTTGTTGAAAGTCCTGTAGTTATAGTTGTGGACATGTATCTTTGAGACATTAAAGACCTGCTCAAAGCCTTCTTCTGTCTCCAGGTTGTGTTCACTTAGCACCACCTTCATTAGAGTGCTCCTGATGGCCACAAACAAACATAAGGTGCTTCAGAATTTACCCTTTAACTGTGAAATATGATGACAAGGCCAGCAGTGGCCTCAAGCCAGTTAATATAAATATTATATTCCATTTCTGCCGATAGATCCTCCTAAATGTTACACGCTAGACCTTTAAAATTAAGATTTTTGCACACAAAAGATATGACAATAAAACAACTGAGGTAATTAGTTGATTAAGCAATTGACAGAAAGTTAATTGGCAACTACTTTAATAATTGTGACACTATTTTTACAAACCAAACAATCAATTAATGGAGAAAATAATCAGCAGATTAATTCATAATGAAAATAATTAGAAGCAGTCGTTTACAAAATAGTGCAAAATTAGCTCCACGTCAGTCGACTACAAATTAATGCACAAGTCATAATAATAGAATGATGTAATCAATCACAGAGGTGGTTTTTCTGCAATGAGTACTTTTAATACTTTAAGTACATTTTCCAGATTATACTTACATACTTTTACTTAACATTTTCAGTGCTGGACTTTTACTTGTAATGGAGTATTTTTACAGTGAGGTGTTAGTAATAAAGGATCTGAATACTTCCTCCACCACTGCTCAGAACATCCACGTTATTACTGTAACTGTCAGTACTTACGGCCTCCAGCAGTGGGCAGCAGACACCACCCACTGAGGGTGCACTAAGGTTGCTCCGCAGTAGTGTTGGAACTTCTCAGTCTGCAGGGATGCCTGATATTTGATAGAGTATGGCTGGACCTCCTGACCCCCAATGATCCTCGCTGTAAATGTCTCTGCAAAATAATTAAAACAGCTGTCTTGTGTTTCTTCCGGTTTACAAAAAAAAAGTCAAATTTCTGCCATATTTCACACTCTATGGTCTTAATAATCTTAATTCACTGCAGAAGAGAGGTTGAAGGCAGTCTTAAGGCCACGTCACCAAAGATTTAGTATATCCATTACTCCTCATGTGGATACATTTCTGTTCTCGCCCTCGTTTCAGCCAGCGCTCTGTAAAAGTCCCTTTCAACATGGTTTTATATCTTGAGTCTAGGATTTCATACATTTTATCAGCACCCAAGAATTAAAATATTGGGACCGAGGAACTCACCTGATACTGCCAAAGACAAAAGCAACAGCATTGTAGAACATAGCATTGTAGCCATATTTTTAGTTGCCATCTGTAATGCAGAAACATTACTTTTAGCAGCTTCTATAAACAGTAAGTGGCAAGCAATTTAATTACTCTGACTATTTGTGTAAAAATGCATTATTCCAAATTATGGAGTTTTTGGAATACACGTGTACAACTTTGCAGCCTAATTTTAAGTGTGTGAAATGTCTCAATGTAATGTGTCAGTGCACCATCATTTCATTTTAAAACAAGAGTACTAAAGGAATATTCTAATACAACTTCAACACATGGTTAAGTTTTTGTTTCTGTTGTTGTTGTTGAAAAACACCATCTTAACCTGAAATCCAGGCTGACCACTGAATATTATAATCATTAATTTTGAACAAAAAGGGTTAGAATCACCTTCTACTTACCTGTAAGCCCAAACAGCAGCCTTCACTGTATCTGCAACTGGTGGCCTCAATGCTCTCCTGTGGCCTTATATAGCGTAACTGTATCCTTGTCCAAATCTTTTGTTTAAATTATCTTTTCGTCTGGTTTTGTACTGTGACCATCTCACGCTGCAACAATGAAAGTGACCTACTACATGACAAAGCTGATGCGTTCTCTTGTATTATGTTTGTTTCTAAGCTCTACTTTTCTGCTTGCACCTTGGGATATGAAGGTATTTGGGATGGGAACGCCTCTACACAGTCAGGCTACGTACAGAATGAATGTTTAGAACCTATTTGATGGGATGAAATTCAGATGATTCATTTGCCATGATGAGAGTATTCTTGTGTGTCTGTATATAATAAAGAAAAGTCAGAGTGACAATTTTATTTGCATATATACTTTTTTCCTTTGTTTTAATAAAGAACACCGATTAAAACCAGGTAAAAGATGTTATCCCTTGATTAACCTACCTTTTGAAATCTATATGAATATGAATCACATATAGGTAATTCAAAGGATATTTAAGCTTAATGGCTCTCGGTTTACTGCGGTACATTCTGTTCTCCCCATTACAATAGGCTGCCAGGAATTGACACGCAATAGTTCTACTGTACGCCCTGGTTTTGTTATACCCTGTTAAACTGATTCTACTATTTAGTAAGGTTTACCTATTTTAATGATCTATTCATCATTCTTTTTTGCTAGTTCTAAATAGCTTTTAAAATAATTAATTGAAATAAAGTTTTTTAAGTGTTTAAATGTTTGCAGCTTTATATTTTCTAATTAAATGTAATATCCTGAATGCTTTATATCTACTTAAAATTGGTCGCTTTAAGCTCCCAACAGGGTTCATCTGATCTCAGAACACGGAACTAACTATATTCTGAATACAATATTACTTTACGTATATACTGCACATAATGTTATGTATATGATATTATAAAATGATGAACATTGCACGACACATGCAAAATGGGTAACACAAGAGCCAGTAAAATGTTGGTTAAAACATGAGTTACATGCTCCTGCTGGGATACATGTTGTTGAATCTCAATGCTTTCATAGGATCAACTATATTGTGTTCATAGCAGAGTATGAGAAACTGTTATGGACCAAAAAGTAGGCCCTAAAGATTCTTGGCCTGTTGACCTATGTTGTAATCATAAATCATAATTTTGAACATTTTGTACTGCATGTTATATATCTGGTTAGGGTCATAGACTCACAAAAGGTAACCGAGATCTACATCCACACTGTCTATGTCATCCTGAGGGACCTGAGGCATTCCCCAGAACGTAGGCAGTGCCTGAAATGGGGCGGTACTCACCAGTACTGAGTACCAACCACAACAAGTTCAGTTTTTTGGTTCTAAAACCCTGCGTACATCAATACTGGTGAGGTACTCCTAATGCCCGCATAACACATCTCTTTGTAAACACATAGCTCACATAACACTAAGAAAACATCACTGAATTAGGTTTTTAGGCCAATTCAGGCACTGAACATATGTAATACCTCTGGTGTGCTCTGTGTCTGTGTCTGCCGCCGCCTCCTCCTCCTCCTCCTCCACAGCGAGGTGACAGACACATAAGGTGTCAGAAGGCATTGAGATCACATGCCTGAATCACCTCAGCTGGGTCCTCTTTAATAGGGAGGAGCAGCAGTTCCCTCTTCACTGTGACAGCCTGCAGGAATCACCAGCAGACAACACCCAGCGCTAACGAATCCGCCTGGGACGTCAGCCACTGCAGGGGCTGGTTGCTTTAGTTGTAATGTAATGATTACATAAGTGGAGAATTACACATCACTGAATTAAAACGGATTGTTGCACACGATTCACTTCTTTTTGAGAATTGTTTCTACTAAATATTTAAACCCAGTAACTTGAACTGTGACTGTTACGTAACTAAGACTCATTACTACCACCACTTAATTAAATGCATGTTTGCAAGATAAACGTTCTCATTTATTGATTTATGTGATGGGTAGCGTTCCCTCCCCACTCTAGTTTAGCCACATCCTGCAATCATTGATTGTCAGCAGGTGAGGCTAATCACTTCTCAGTCCTTAAATGTAGCTGTGTAGCAGTCAGCAGTAGGTTTTGCCTCACCCTATCCTGACTCCACATTTGTTTGAGGGAGGCTGATGTCCAACTAAGTTATGAATTGGCTGTCATATAGTGGATGCATGCATTAAGTTTTTCCCTCACATCTGTGCAGGTGTAATTGCAGGAATATGGGAGCTAATTGAAGGTAGTTGCTGCTCCCTCCACTAGAAGAGTGTGGTGTGTATGTGCCAGATCCTAGTTGGATAAATTGTTCATGTAACTTGCAGGTATGTTAATCTTTAAGTTGTATGTTTTGTTTAATATTCTCATCAGTGGTCTTTAGATTGTAACTACTGAAGCATATGTTTTTGGATTAATATATATATATATTGTATATGTGATGTCACTGTATACTTTGTATAATGTGTTTTCTTTACAATAGGAACTAGAAAATTATGTCCGTTCCCATGACCTAGTCCTCTGGCTACTGCTGTTTTTGCCCTTCTACAAATGTATTTATTGTATATGGTTACCTTGTTTTATTGTGTAGACTGCTAATTTTTGATAGCTGGTCCGTGTTTTCTTAGTCAATTTAGTCTGATTCATTCTTTTATAAACCAATCTTGTGATATAGTGGGGCTCTTTTTAGTGTTAGTGCAGGTGGGCTGTCATATGCTTGCAGGTGGTGGGTCAGTAGGTGAAGGGTTTTCCCCTGTCTGGGTTCTATGTGCATGCTTAAGTTGCTGTGTATTCTAACTATGTGCTTTATTGTTGTTTGGCAGTGTGTGACCTCTTCCCTGTACCTACTGGTGGTGGTGACCCCCCCCCCATTTCCTCACTCCTGTAGGCCTCCCTGACAGCCCCCCCTTGCACTGGTAATCATCTTACTGTAGTGGCATCTATTTACTGAATCAAATATGTTTTGGTAATAAATCCTAAATTTTAACCTGTCCCGAATTTCATTATTTAATGAGTCTGAAATTAAATCTGTGTAAATAAGTGGTTGAAACTGGAAATTCACATCTCTGCTCCTTTTTTCTCTGTACTATAAGAACCTGTGAAAGTGGGTATTCTCTGGGTGAAAGTCCCAGGGTGGTGTTGTTGCACTTGCTGTCAGGGTTTTTAGATGCCCTGGTCACATTTAGATAAACCTTTTAAGTTGCAACATTTTTGAGTTGTGTTGACATAAAAATGTGGACAAACTAGCCACCAACACATTCAATATACTTTGATTGTAGAGGGGGGGAAATCAGTTAAGAGTAAAAGAGACAACTTGGAATAAGGTTGATAACCTATATCTGATTAAATGCTGTGGAAGATTTTAAATTACATTTCACAAAAATGTGAAATTACAAAACATGCTAATGTCCAAAATAATGTTAACTGTTTCAGAAGCTTAACTTCTTACTTGTTAAACATTTTACTCCACTACATTTATTTGATCATTTATGTAACCAATCAGTTTGCATTTAGGTTATTGATACAAAATTATTCAAAGAATGGATGTATTATTATTATTGGTTAAGATACAATAAGACTTGACGTCCCCACTGTTACCAGCTGCAACATTAAAGTAATGCATCAATGGGCCATTCTGGATCATTAGTACTTTTGATTTTGTGCTTTATATATATTTTGAGGCTAGTAGTTTTGTACTTTCAATTTCACACTTTCATTCATGAGCTCCTCCACTGAGTCGGATTCCCCTTCAAATCAATGAAATGAGGCGGCATAAAGACTACCGTGTGTATTTCTACACTGTTATTGACACGTTTACTTCAGTTAACTTCACTGGAATTACTTTCCTGTAATACTATACTGGTATAACACCCAATATTATGAGATTGAGCAAAACTATTCAATTACGGGAATCCTCCTTTTGACGAGCTGAACAGATTTGGATCTTTAACTATCAACTTTTCTCCAAGAAGGAACTGCATAAGATTTCATCAGGAAACCTGTGCTGAGTCACTGGGACCATTACTGATACCGGCACCGATAAGACATCAGTGACACCCCAGTCTAAAGACTGTAAACCAAGATTATCTCACAATCTAAATGTCTCCTGTCCAGTGTAACACGTTACAAAGTCATGAATTAGTTATTTTCTAAGTGACTTCAGTTTTCTCATGTCAGTAATTAAAACAACTACAACAGACAACTTTCAATCTTCAAGTACATTTTAAATCATTCAAGAAATGTGTCGACCATGATAATCTTCACATGTAATAACATCAAATACTGCTGTGCTGTTAGAAATTAAAAGCCTCTCAACTTACCAATACAAAGAAAACCTCTATTGATAATGAACTTAAATGATATAGAAGTCAGTGTATTAAAACAGGAGATTTTAGGGATTAGAGCATTCTGGTTTGTGATGTACAGATAACTTTTCATTCCAGCGCCTGATAGATGAATGTGAGAGCTGGCAGTAATGTGCAGTGATGACAGCTCTTGGACTGAGGAGTGGGTCGTGTGGAAAAAAAGGCAGTGGTCAGCACTCAGGGGATGTGAGAGGTACCAAGAGCACTGCTGTAGCCATCAGCAGCATGGAGGGCAACAGAGAGGGCTATTAGCCAGCTGAGGTCAGGAACTCCTCAGAGGGATGGTAGCAGTGATGAGACCTGCCTGAGCTGTGCTCCATTTTTAATGACACCCAGCTCTAGAATAGATGTGGAGTGTAGTGCTGCCTCGACCTGGTCACGTACAAAGAAGGTGTTGCTGCTTGTCATCAGTAAAAAACCCTTGTTAATACTTCCTTGGGAAATCAGTGAGGGGAGATTGTACAATGATGAAGAGATGCAGAGACCCCTTACTGTATCATTTGATCTACATTAAGAGCTACAATCACAAGCTGAAAGATGTCAGATATTAGACATAGCTGACAGGGCATCAGAGTAGCGGCACAATGACATGATAAACTCCACAGAAGGTCCTGACACTCAGAATGATGACAACACAATGCAATGCATGCATAGTGCATGCTTCACCTTTTACGTTACAGTGAATGGGCCTTCTGTAAACTGTGTGATTCTATAAACAATTATAGAGGTATAGGGCAGCTTGAGTCATGGAAGAGGTGAGACAAGGGGCCGTGCTGTAGAAGCTTCAATTATATATTGGTCCAGGACAAGGAGGTGACCATGGAAACGGAAATAGGAACTAAAAGAAACCCGAGAGTGCAGCGATGCCTTCCCATTAAGATTAGACGAGTAGCACACAGGTGAGGTCTCTCTTTGCGTGTAGACTGTCCTCCCCATTGTCTCACTATGGACCTGCCATCTTTATTGCTTTGTATATTGTTCGAAGTCCTGGCTGTGAACTGTAAGTAAGCCTCTTTAACTTGAATTTACGGTTCATTTATGTATGCACGGAAGGGGTTTAAGATAAGTTAAGCCTATGGGTTACAGTGACAGGAAAGCTGGGATGCAGTCTAACATTCTGAAAAACAAAAAACTCTCAGTTTAAAGGGGCTGAATGTGTGTCTGATATGTTATTAGCGTCAAGGGACGTAGTGGGGGGTAAACCCAAGTAAAGTTTATTCATCTATTTGAAATGAGAGTTGATTCACAGGAATTGTAGATCTAGATCTAACCCTACAGTAAACTGTATTTAACACTACACCCCTGTTAGTATCTCTTCTATCAATGTTTTAAAAGATCCCTTTTAGCTGTGGCTTCTGATCCTGATGTTCCCCTGAGATAGTCTTTTGACTAAAAGTGTGACTCAGAGCCATTTTCATCTGGCAATGACAGAGCTTCTGCGTGCTTTAAGTCATAAATCACACTAGCAGAGTAATAGGGTAAAAGGAGACTTGGCATAGATTAAAAGATGGACAGAGCATAATTTGGTTTTGTGATGTCCTTTGCAATGACACGTCTGTGATAAAAGGCTGTATTCTGCCAAATACACCTGATTACAGTTTGTTGAATTTGCTTATCTTCTTGTTTACATGTTAAAGTTTAATTTAAAACTTCGGTATAATTCCTGATATTGTTTAAAGTCCCGATAACATGCACAATGTTACAACAAAGATATCTTTTTGAGATAAAGATCTTTTGAAATGAAAAGGGCAGTAAAAGTGTGCTTATTCACCAAAAGAATTTGAAACCTCAGGAACAGATGATGGCTAAGAAGAAAATAACAATAAGTAATTGTGGCCAACACCCCCTTTTGTGCTGGTCGCAAAGCTAAAAGGTGAAAGGAGACTCTGATAAACATCTTGAAACAGGTTTAGGATCTGGGACAATGCTGGAGACCTTCTTTTAGCTTGTTTTTGAAAATATGGACAGTCTATGGGGAAAAAAATAGATATGCCTACATTAATGGCTAACTACATTAGCAGTAAGCTATAAATTACATATCAGTCACCTGCTACAATGTACAGTCGAGCACAATAGGACACACAATAGGAGACCAATTATTCAAGGTTCAATTCCAAAGTTATTACATAACGCTTTCTAATGTTCATTTAGTGTGTGTGTTTATCTCACACACACACCAAGTCCGTGAGGTACCCAGAATACTGTATAGAGTTACTATTTTGCTCTTGACACACACCACTGCTGCTAATTATGGCTTGGGATCAAAATCTAGGACAGTAATGAGAGGGTATTGTTTCATTCCTGACAGCATGTCTGTGTCTGAAATGGCTCTTAGTCACTGTGATGTACATGAATGTTTGCCATGTAGATCTTTAAATACTGAGTCTAAGTGCCTCAATTAATTGTTGTTCATATGTTTTTTATTCTGTTAACAGAATTTGCCTGTTTGGCAATTTTTTTTTCTAATGTAAATGTCTGTTGCTCTCTGCTGCCTAGTTCAAGGTTGCGTTCACGCCGCAAGCCTCAGCACTCATTTCACTCATTTTTTCTTTATGTGGCTCATGTCAGATTTCATGACCAATGTCAGTCTAGAGTGACGTAAAAGTCACATGAATTCTGATTCATCACAATGAGGTCAAGTTGCAGAAAAGCAGACCTGTGTCTGACTTGAACCGCACATGAAAGTGACCCAAATTAGAACTGAAAAGATCAAATTCGATGTAATTTGTGCTGTTCACACTGTCATGAAAGAAACAGATCTGAGTCACATATGGAAAAAAAAAATCTGATTTGGGTCGCTTGTGTCTGCAGTCTGTACTGCAAGCAGCCTATAAAACGTGTAGTTGTAGAGCATAAAGTACTCCTTGGAGAGAATATAGAAGATGTGACCTCAGGTTAATCAATGATAGCTATAGCCAGGAGGATGTCAGAAATTCTGAAGAAAAAAAAAACAGTCTAATTCTGCTTTAGTCTAAGTAAAACACATTTTAAGGGGCTGATCCATGTCAGTCCTTTGCATCTCTTGTCATTTTTCTCTTAAAAAGATACCAATCACAAGACGCTCCCAGTCAGGGTTAAACCTAACTGAATGTAAGAGTGTAAGAGTCACTATTCAGCAATGGCAGAAGAAGTATTCAGATCCTTTACTTAAATAAAAGTAGCAATACTGTGATATATATATTTAAAAATCTTTACAAGTAAAATCCCTGCATTGAAAATATAACTTAAGTAAAAGTATGTAAGTGTTATCAGCAACAGTAAGTACTTACAAATTCAGAAAAATGGCCCGTGTGAATGTTACACTATGTACATTATACGATTCAGTTATTAGTATGACGAAACTTACATTTTTCAGTGATGTATTAAGTTAAGTTGAAGGTAATTTTAACTATTTTATTAGATCCAAATAAAGTGAGTGTGTCATCCCCAAACTGTGTGTTAACATCAGATAGATAATGATGGTCAGACTCATCCTCACTGTGAATCAATGTACCTCAGAGATGAGATTGCTTTTCATTGATCTGCTGAGAAACATCTGTGCAGTGAAGTCGACTGTTGTTGTTTTCTTTATGACTTGCGTTGTTCTTGCTGACACTGCAGCTGCAGTAGTGTATGTTTTTCCCTGCAAAAAACTAATCGATTGTTTTATGTGTTTGTCTCTCCGAATCCCGTCTAAGCTCATCTTTATTCCCCTCTGTGTGTGTCGCAGGTCAAGATGTGCCACAGGCACGTATTGTTGGAGGATACGCACCGGTTCCACATTCAATCAAGTACATTGTGTCGATACAGACAACAGAGCGTCGGCACTTTTGTGGAGGCTCCTTGATAAATAAATACTGGGTAGTCACAGCAGCACACTGTAACGTTGGGTGAGCTTATTCTTCTTCTTTTGATTTTCCTCTACTGAGTATAAAAGTTAACCTCAGGCAGAAGCACAAACTTGGTAAAACAAACCCGAGATAACAGTGTACACCTTTGTGTCCTGATTTAGCATTCTGTAAGGAAGTTGTAAGCAGATAATAAAAGGCCTATTGACATGTGATGACCTCAACTTGACTTCTCTGCGTGTAAATGTGTGTATAAAGGATTGCATTAGAAGATCCAGTAATTTCAAGCCATATCAGATAGTCATCTGTGCAAGTTATCAGGGCTGAGAGAAAGCCCAAGAAAGTGATACAAGCTCACCGGTAACAATGGAGCTCTGTGGTGCTGAAATCTGACACAAGCATATTATGGTCTCAAGGCCCACTGACAACACACTTTCGTATAGATTACAAACAGTTTGGCTCGTAAGGAAGCAATAATTTCAGACGATGTTGTTTGCCGTTTGTTCCAGACTCTGTGGTTACAACAAACTGATACTGGCCTTTCATTGTATGACATATACTGGATTGTCAGTCAAGTTCCTACTTAACAGTAGTTAGTAGTTTATCTTTATGTATATATATTCTACTAATATGCATAAGAAAATAGGTTTTGATGGAATAGTAATATTGTCCAGATTACTTTATTACTTCATACAAAGGTTGGTTATACAAATCAAAACATTGGAAGACATCACCTTGGAAATAGTGTTGGTCATTTTTCACTATTTTCTGACACGGAGTAGACTGATGAGATGTGTAACTATTGAGTCCTTTGTATTTTTTTGGAAAATATTCATATTCATTGTTATGTCCATACACAAGTCATAAAGAACAGTCCTTCTCAACCTTTTTGGTGTCAAGGACCCTCAAATTGATGAAATTGAAACACTGACCCATAATTGATAAGAGGTGGTCTCAGGAATCCCTGTTTGATAAAATGTAGTTATTACATAACTATAGTGTAAATTGGCAGATTAACAGTGAAGAGTGTGCAACCTATGAACAGAATAGTCATTTTTATACATTCTCTCATTGGGATAATGTCTAGTCAATGAAAAAATATTAAGATTAAAATATTCCCCATTTCCCTGCAGATGCTCTGAAACCCCATCAAGGACCCCCGAGGGCCCCCAGACCCCCAAGTTTACAAACAATTATGTAGTATACAATGGTGTCACACTGCGCATTAAAAAAATGATCCTTTCATGGTAAAAGAAAATCTACCATTGTTTGCAATGGTTTTGTATGTGTTAGCTTGTAATTTGCTACAAAAACATGCTGAAGAGTTCAAGCTGCTCTACTCAATAGCTCTATATTAACAATGGGCCAGACTGAATGTATTACTCCATAGTTCCCATTAGCTCCATGCAGGATTTTAGCATCTTTCATCTCATTGTTTTGGTTTTACAGCCCGCAACTTTACTGTTTTGGCTCACACTCACTGCTCTCAACCAGACGAAGTTAGTGTCTAGCTGGGGAACATAGTGGAACATATAGCTAGAGAAAAACAGAGCCAAAGGACAGAGAATATTGAACTAATATTTGTCAGGTGGCAAAAAACATGACTTCAAATGAAGATTAATGTTGCTTTATACCTGCTGTGTGTGTGTGTGTGTGTGTGTGTGTGTGTGTGTGTGTGTGTGTGTGTGTGTGTGTGTGTGTGTGTGTGTGTGTGTGTGTGTGTGTGAGCTGGTGGCTAACAAGCTTTCCTGCAACAGCTTCACAAGGTGACAATGTGTTAAGCTAAGATTGTATTGTTGGAATATACAGTACCAAGTGACATCCCAGTGGGCCTTTGTTGTGACATTTTTACATCATAGCAAAGAAAAGGAGGTGTAATTATTAACTTTAATAAAGGCTGAATTCAAATGAGGTTTTTCAGTTCCAGGAACCTGGTATTGTGCATGATGGTTCACTCTCACAGCTTCCTGGACCACCTAAATGGAACAGAGCCAGAACCATTAACCTGCCAGTACTTACACCAGTGCTTTTCCTTCTATGACAAGTTAAATTGTGTGCAGTGAAAGAAGCTGAATGGCAGTGATCAAAATTAAATATGGACTTTGCAGTTGCATTCATCACTTAGAAAAAGGAAATATATAAAAGAAATAGAAAACAGTTATGTTAAATTATGATATCATTTTTTTAGTTGTTTTAGTTTTAGTTTTTCATGTATCTTGCTTTTTTAGTATGTTTCTTATGTATAATATTGTTCTTAGTATATTGTTGTATCTTTTATGTATTTTATTATGTTAAAAATAATTTTTTTTCCAACTACAACACATAATCTACAGTAGCCAGGAAATCCAGTAGTTGATTAGATAGTAAAATCTCATCAGCTTGTTGTTGGTTTATAACTGAAGGACGTTATAAAAAGTATGTTTGTTCTGGATTGTCATGGTCCAATGTTTATTCGGAGTTTGATCTGCTATAACTGTATTTCTCAATTTACTTCTAATTCAGTGCTTGGACCATATTTGATTTACTCTGGACAAAGTTTTGTAGAGAGTCATAGTCCTGACATCAAGTGCGAGCTAGCCCAACGCATGTAAATGAAACCTGCATTAATTTTAACAACATTAAATCACACTTAGCCTGTGAAGGTCTAGGCCTTATGGGAAATTGTGTTCATTAAAGAACAAACAATTATACTAGATTGTCTTTCAAGAAACTACCGCCCTTAGTTATTAGCCTAATATCAATGGGATTTTGAGTTTTTGTTACGTCTGGAACAAACTTCCAGTTTCCCTTCAGCTCTCTCTTGTATATCAGATGTGGAAAAATACACATAGATCCCAAAAAGATTAAGATAAATGAGAATTATTTTAAGCTAACATATTATCACAGCATTACAACATGGTGACTCTAATTTGCTTTTTATCTCTGCAGGGTAAATAAAATGATGATAGTGGCAGGGGACTACTCTCTGACCATCTATGAGGGCACAGAGCAAGAAATCCTGCCTCATCTTTTGGTTCCCCACCCCGAGTACAACAGCACCACCAACAACAATGACATTATGCTTATAAAGGTAGAGTACACAAAGTATTCTTCTTCTTCTGTATCAGTCTTTTTACTGATCACACTGTCCACCGTTTCTCCAGCTGAAGGCCCCGGTCTATCTGAACGGATACGTTTCCATCGCTCTGCTGCCCAGGCAGGGCGCCACAATAGCAGAGGGCAGAGTGTGTCGAGTGTCAGGCTGGGGTTACACCAACCCCAAAGGAGGCCAGATCCCCTCCACCCTCCGCACTGTCAAGCTCCCCATCGTCACCACAGAAAAATGCAACAGCAGTACATCCTTCAACGGCAGCATCACAGAAAACATGCTCTGTGCAGGTTACAGTGCAGGTGGAAAGGACGCCTGTCAGGTGAGAGGGGCTCAGTGTTTGGATATGTTACCGTTTTAATAAAAGCAGTTTTATAAAAGCAGCTTATTTTTAAATTGGGACTAGATATTTGTCTGATTAAAAGGAAAGAAACTGCCCCAATTGGGATTTTGTATAAGTATATATAAGTGTCTAAATATTCATGTTTTTGATTTTACATTTTCCTCAATTTGTATTCTTAGATACAACTTTATTATGTCTTTAAAACAAGACCTTTCTCCTACATTTACAAAATGACCCCCTTGTAAAGGATAAGGCTCACATAGTCTCTCAATTCATCCTGACTTCGCTACCGTGTCTCTTGCACTCAGCTTAAAGTGCATTTCTTTCTACTTCTAGAAAATCTTTAAAAATGTGAATAAACAACGGTTGAATGTACCCAAGTACATTTACTCAAGTGCAGTATTTAAGGAGAACAAAGGATCTAAATATTTCTTCCACCACTGGTCTTAAGTTTGCACACAGTGTCATTTTATAAAGTAATACAGTTATTGCCTAAAATAGCTGGGAACTGTAGTTTTTAGTAAAGGCTACTCAACAGGAGTAAAATTTGCATTTGTTGGAGGTTATTTTCAGCTGTTAAGTAAATAAGCATTTAGTGCAATAGTGAACAGCAGCAGGATGTTGTATGTGGGAATGAGTTTAAATAAACTACACTGCGTGTGTTCATGGACATAAAGGAACATGTCACCCAGTGCAACAAACAATGGAGGTCTTTGGCACAGAGGAACATACTATTTCACAAACAATACTATTGTTGTATCAATTCTGTTGACTTTTTATGGAATTTGTTGACAATAATAAAAAAAATAAATAAATACAGAATAAGTTTCTTGTTCAGTAAAACGTGACTCTTGTAGGAAGTCTGGAAGTCATCCCTGATGTTTCCTTCTTTCATGCTGTTTCAGGGAGATTCTGGGGGCCCGCTTGTATGTGACGGCCGGGTCTACGGTGTGGTGTCCTGGGGGAAAGGATGTGCTGATGCCCAGTTTCCTGGAGTCTACACAACTGTGTCTAAGTATCGCAGGTGGATAGACAACACTGTATTTAGCTACTACCGCAGGTGTAACAACAATTAGCCCAGTGGTACAGAGATTTAAAAAAAAAAAGAGAAGTGAAGACTTTCTTCATTTGCATTTCAGTTCTTTGATCTGATGTTATTTTTATAATTTGTGTACATTTGGTTATATGTTAATGTATTAAAGGAATAGTTTGACATTTTGGAAAATGTGATTTATCGCCTTCTTGCTAAGAGTAGAAGAGAAGATTTATACCACTCGCAAGTCTGTATGCTACATTAAGCTCCAGCTAGCAGCCAGTTAGCTTAGCTTAGCATAAAGCCTGGAAACCAGAGGAAAAAGCTCTGACCGATAGTAACAAAATCAGTTCCTCTAAAGTTCACTAATTAACACCAAGCGGCAACCTCTGTGGCTGAGAAATGAAGCCAACGCTGGAGTGCCAAAGACTACAGTTCCTCACATGGCCACGTGAGGCTGGCTCCAAAAGCGAGTCGATATCCATAACTTAAATCAATTATTATGATCCAACTTCAAAGCAGAAATAAACATGTTTACAGCCTGGTATAAACAGCAGTTTTGGTCTCTAATTCGCTCATGACAACCGTACAGTGGATTAATTACCCACCCGTTTTCAAATTAAAGTTATGCGTAATTAAGAGCGTGGCTGCTGTGAGTGACAGGTGGGTGCTATTACAGGTAGCTGATTTCAGCAAAAAAGCGTCATTTGGGCCGTCCCCCACGCTCTACATCCTTGCCCATTTTTGGATTAGCAGCGGAGACGGAAGCTAAGTTGGCAACACCCAGAGTCAGCCACACTGCCCTTCACAACAGCTCTTCAGAGCACCTATATCACCTTTGAGTGACGTCACAGAGACTGCATCCATTTTACGTTGTGGTTTTACAGGGGTTATGTGTATTGTTGGTGCTAAGCTAAACTAACTTTTTCCATGCTGCAGCTTCATATTGAACAGACAGATATGAGAGTGGCATCTCCCCCTCTAACTCTCTACAAGAAATTAAAAAGTGCTTAATCCAAAATGTCAAACTATTCCTTTAAGTTTTAAAGCTTGAATATTTATCATGTCTGTTGTTGATCTGTTGACAGCATTTCAAAAACAAGTGATAGATAATCCACCAACACCCTCTGGTAAAAACAAAAACAGGACATATTGACCATTTCCACAACATCAAGAATGAGGTGCCATATAATTGCTTAAATTGCTTAAAATCAGTGCTTTCAAAGCCTCATTGAGAACTACTGGAAATGCTGTAAATAAGTGCATGCACAATAAAGCAGGTCTAACCGGTGCTACAACATCAAACATCACACCAGCATTCAATGCTTGTGAACAGCTGATTGACACAGTGACAGCAACAACTGTACAATATAATGTAATCCAATACAGTAGCTCTGCAAAAACACTACCTTTGTGAAGCTTGCAATTTTTTGTTTTGTTAAGACTAGTACAGAAATGATTAGAAAACAACTATTTTAAATTTTTCTAGCAAAATCAGCCATCATTTGATGGGTACAGACTTTGCTGAACTGAATATGTTTTGGATATGAATATATAACCTCAGGCTCGAGGAAATCACGGTGGACATTTTTTCATTATTTTACCGATGTAACAATTAATCAGTTAAGAGAATAATCATCATCAATCCACACAATAATATGAATTTATAATGAAAATGTGTTTGTTGCAGATTGCAGTGTTGGGTTGTTTGTGGGTTTGCTGCATTGGATTGCAATAAACAAACATCGAATGGTAAAATTCATGCTTTTCATCCTCTCTATTAATATTGAATGCAAGCTTAATAATACACAAATGGATTGATTTATTCCTTACTGATGCATTTAATGAATTTAAGACCATAATTAATGCATACAGAATTTCCGTCAATCTAAATGTGAACTATCGCACTTACAATGATTAAGAATCTATATACTGTGTGTGTGTGTGTGTGTGTGTGTGTGTGTGTGTGTGTGTGTGTGTGTGTGTGTGTGTGTGTGTGGTGGAGGAAGACAAAACAGCTGCCTTTTCTGAGCATGTCCTCAGTTTAATTAGTGAGTCAATGATTACTGCCAATTTCATGGGGTTTATTTATGGAGTGGCGTTATAAACCTGGCACTATGAATAAAGCACCTTGAAGTGTGAGAGTTGAGCAAATGCATGGGATTAGGTTAACAGAGAGAGAGAGAGAGAGAGAGAGAGAGAGAGAGAGAGAGAGAGAGAGAGAGAGAGAGAGAAATTGTGAGTGTGTTAAAACAACAACGTGAACTGGAGTGTTTTCTTGTTTTATACACTTTAATAAAGTACTGATCATCCCACTCTGACTTCTTTATTTGCAATTACAGGCTTGTTGCCGCTCTTTGCCCCTGAGTGGAGACTTTTAACAACGGATTACACAGGTTGTTTGGATAGATAACTCGCAAAGTCATTACAGGGGGACAATTAATAAGGCACTACACTGATTAATTTTTAAAAACTACAGCGATCCCTTCTGGTATAGAATGTAACTCTTGGTCACTTGTCACTAGCTTTCCTCAATCAGCTGATGAATTATCCCAAAACTGGACTACCTTCATGAAATATGCATGGAGCCAGTCTTCCCTCTGAGCAATCTGAGGCGCCGCTGCCTCAGCCAGCAGTGATTCCCGTAAAGAAGAGCAGAGGCTAAGGCAGGGGAAATCAGTACAGACTGCGTCACACCTGATAGGTGTCAGTGTATCACAACAGAATGAATAGTTGATGGCCTACTTTAGAGGCCTCTCTGGTTTCCCTGCTCAGCCCTGCTCAGCCCTGTTTGCTCTGTGATGATGGGTGTGTCAGTGTCCCGTGTGATTGATAGATTTCAGGGCTTTTATCCCTCTGATTTTACAGGCTTGGTTACATAAGGGCTGATTTCTTTTGTTCCGGCATGAGAAGGCCTCTCAGGGGAGTGTTAGAGTATATCACCTGACATGGTTGATTCAGAGTTCCCTATATGTTCACTGGCTCACAAAGGGATACGTCCCTTGTCGGGTTTTTGTGTGTTTCATGTAGAAGAATATTGATTGTGACCATTCCACGAACAGCTTCTCCCAGCGGACTCTGCTTTGTGGCAGCTCGGAAGACAAAACATGGTTTACAATTATAATGGCTTATTTTCCCCAAACTAGGCCACCAGCATCCATTATTTTCCAATATGTGTCACACAGCAAAGTTTACTTTCATGCCTCGGGCAGACATTTGATGTATGGGTGGCACAGTACTGTTTACAATCAGGCAGTGGTGGAAGAAGTACATCATATCTTTTAGTTAAGAACTTAGCATTTAACATCCTGTTGAAGTAAATGTATAGAAATGTTAACTGCAAAATGTACTTAAAGTATTCAAAGTAAAAGTACCATTTCTGCAGGAAAACTCCTACTGCTGATTGAGACTGTTTGAACAACTTTATATGCAGTTAAGTAGTTTAGTCCAGTTGTTCCCATCAGCTGTACAAAGTCTTACTACTAAATTTTGTGAAATATTTTATAATTTAACCTCTTTTTGAGTCAAATAATTATTTCAGTGAAAACATCTGAGAAGTTTAGAGAGGAAATATCTCTCCCAACAAGTCATAGACATCTGAAATGTAACAAGGGGCCCCAACTAGGCATATTTTTTTTTTAAAAGAGGTCACAAGCCAAAGAGGTTGGTAACCACTGGTTTAATATTTAACAAGCCATTGTATTTTATAGGTTGATCTTGTGCATTTTAATGCAAAATATTGAATATCTGAAGTAGCCGTAAGATAAATATAGTGGATTAAAAATGTACAATATTGAAACATATAGAATCGTGAAGTAGAACAAGATGAAAATACTCAAGTAAAGCACAAATACCTCAAAACTGTACTAGAAACTGTGCACCAGTGCGTTTAGGTATCTACTGGCACCCCTGGTGAATCCCCTGCTGCTGAAAAAAGACATCCTATTATTCAGGTAACTTTTTGAAGATGAAAGCTTTGTTAATAGATAGGAAAACATAATAACGGTTCCAAAAGATGTCACAACAAGAAGTAGTGGAGGATAAAAGATGAAAATGCACATCACTGATTTGAACCACCAGGGGGCATTTGATCATCAAAGCATGAGGAGCAGAAAAACAACAGATGAGGTGCAGGCCTGCTGGCACTTCCTCCTCTTTGATTATAATAAGCCCTTCCTCTGAAGTGTTGTGTCTGCACATGAAAACATTACATCATACTTTTTGAATCAAAATGATGATGAATGTACAAAAATATAGCAAGTGTTTTTACACTGCTGGAGAGGCTTCATTAGAGGAAGAATGAGAAGGGGGGGCAGGACATAGAGAGGAGAGTGTTTGTCTGCATGGTCCTCTACACTTATTATAGCCGAGGTGCAGAGACTTGGAGGCCAGACAACTGTCTGAGTTCAGTGGGATGCCAGGAGGCTCCGAGGCATGACAGAAGCTGAGATGAAAACGTGACCAGATTATTGTGCGGACCTTTCTTCAAAACCAAAGAGCCATTCAACTTCACAAACAGCCCTCCTTTTGCTTTTTGCTTTCTTTCTCTTCTGAACCCTGCAGAGATTAATGCACTTTATTTCATTTTTTACTATTTCTCTCCTTAATTCTTTGACATGGCACCAGCCAAGAGGCTTTTTCCTGAATCTGGGACAACAGGCATGTGTAAAATATGCAGAAGATGGAATAATTGGCTCAGAGGCAAATGGCTGAAATATGATTTTTCTTTTTTTAAATTAGAAAGGATAATCCTTACTACTGCAACTTTTAAAGAGAAATGGACAGAGGGAATAGCAAAAAATATCCCCTCTCTGATTCTTTTGCATTGTTATTGTGCAGTCAAGCTTTTCTTTTGCTGCTTTTCATAATATATAGCATTCTTGATGGCTGTTTTAGACACCAAATATAGATGCTGGTCTCACAGGAGGACAGATCCACGTGATAATGAGTGGGCTAAGTGACTGAATCAGCCACTCGAGTTCAGACTATTACAAAACACAGCACTCAGACTCAATTGTCTTGGCAAGCTTCAAACCTGAGACAAAGCGAACCATTAGCTAATACAGAAAATAAGTCGTCGATTCTCATTGCATTAGACAGAATCCTCAATTTAATAGTTATCTTATCTCATAATTTGGCCGTCACGCTGTGAGGTTTTACAACCAGTCAGCGCTAAAATCCATTACGTCTGAAATGGGGTCATTTGTTTCCCCCTGTCTATTGAGAAGAGTTTGTGGCTAAATGGAGATGAACAGCTCAGGTGTTACATCCTGACAGTTTTGGCAGTGAACACCTGAGAGAGCACAGCTGAATATCAAAAACCACTACATGGAGTCAGGAATGTGGCACTGCATGACAAGAGCAGGAAATACATCCAGGGGCAGATCTAGAAGGGTGGCAGAAAAAAAAAAAAAAATAAATCAGCCACCCCAGCTGCCACCCCACGTTAGTGTTGAATGCTGTCAAATTTAATACATTCATTTAGATTAATTAGGCTTAAGTCTGTTGAAAAAAGACATCTATTTGGAAAAATTTGTGTTGATTTTTAATGCCACCTTTAGATATTTCTGTTCAATGCTTTACACAACGTAATGTAATGTAAAACAATGTAATGTTTTTGAGTAAAAATATCTTCATTTGGGGGCTTTTTGGACAAAATGTTCACATATGTGATTATTTGTGGTTAAATCAGCATATATTTCTGCCAACCTCTTGCCACCCCATAAATAGTTCTCTAAATCTGCCCCTGAAACCATCGTATCCAGTTACTGTAGCTGAGCCAAATAAATAGTGCAATACATTCTTGTTTCATGAAATCAGGCTTGCCACTGCCCATTTGGTCCCCTGAATAATAAATGTGATGCTTTAAAGTGAGCCATTGTGTTGGCTCTGTCTTTAATCACTACTGTGCAGGGCCTTTGTAATTTGGAAACACCATTGCAGGTGTAGCTCATCAAGTTGCCGACCACCCAGATGTAGGCGCTTATCTTCGTTACATAACATGCAAATCCTGAGACAAAATACATCTGCTGAGCTACAAAACAAGTGTAAGTGGTAAACAATTACAAAAAGAATTTGAGGCTTAAGTACAATGAAAAATGTCAGATTTAGAGAGCCTGAAATGGTTTTAGGCACAGGAAAATAGGGAATGATTAGTATTGAGACGCAGGATGGGGATGATAATTGCTAGTAACAGCACTTCAGTTTCCATGAAAGACATTTACCACGGAGGATGAGAGAGATGTGGAGTGTGTCATCTCTCTTTTCATTCCTATAGACAGTGAAGGGTGACGGTCTAGAAGGAAATTCTTTGGATTCACAGTTGAAAACATTTCACTGAGCTTATTTGTTCATTAATTACTAAATGCCAGCAAGAGTAGGCATCTTTGGTTTTGGTCTTTAACATGTAAATACTGACTGACAAGACAGATTTTGAAATGCTGCTTCCACACCCCCACCTCCTTCTTTTTTTTTTTGCCTCTGCTCCCTTTCACGTCCTTTTTACTGCTCAGTAGATTTATCAAGTTTCCCCTTAGAGGATTAGCAGAAAGTAGAGCACTTTAATCATGTTTCCTAACTTAGGGCTGCCATCAAAGGGAGGCCGTGCTTTGTTCTGTTGAAAAGATATTGCTGATAACCCCCTGAAGCCTCAGATCAGAGCCCACTAACATTACTCCCCCACCTCTTTACCAGCTTGTAACAAGACTCACTTGTGAAAACATCCTAACTTGTGTATTGTCATGGTTGATTTAATTGTTGTCC